TCATTGCCGAGCTCAACAAGAAAATCGACCGGCTGCAGGGAGCAACCATAAGGTACAGCAGCTTCCTGGGAACTCTGGGCCAGGGCAAGACATGGTGTGAGTTATACTCTAACGTTGATGACAGCTTTCAGGCTGGATAGCTACCCATAATTAAGGTGTGTGTTCTGCAGGGTATCATCCCAAGCACCCAAGAAGTGCTACCTTCTCTCTGGCAAAGCCACACTTTGCAAAATCTAACAAGCACTGCAAAACATGCACCATTACATCTAAATATTGCTTTTTGTAATACGCCAGGGTGCCACATAAGTGATAGCAACAGTGTGTAAAGGAAGGTGAAGACACTCGACTTGAACTTCTGCTTTTAAACTTTATTTTGTGTCCCCCTGTAGATCACCTAATCGAAATAATTTGTGAGAGAGATATGGTTCAAATAAACTTCGGTCGGGTTTGTCTCTTCTTGTGCTGGATTTTTTGACAAAACACAATGGCACAAATAATGTTGTCGCCTGACTGTGAAGCTTGTGGTATTACACTAAGTTGTTACTGTGTTAAAATAAACTTTACATTTGACTACATGGAAATATTTTTCTTCTCTTGTTTTTACACATTATTTTCAATGTAGAAAAGTTAGAGTGGAGTGCAGAAGGAGCTTCCTAAAGTTTATCTAGTGAGGATGCAGCTATGTGCCAGAATATGGAGATTTTCTAGAAAACATAAAGTTAGATTTGATGCATTTGTGGGTAATGTCATGGTGCTCTAGCCACGTAGCCAGTTTTCAGTTTACCTTTACCTATTAGCTGCACTGTTTTTTGGTAATTGCTTCATTTCTTCTTGCTTGTAAATACTTCTGGAAGCACAAGGCAATGTTGTTACAACTACTCACTTAATCTCTCGTGAAAATATTAATATGCAAAAAGAACGTTTAGCTTGATACCTCTGCAGACAAACTTTCCATTTGTCTTTTGAAAAGACAAGTTGAAAAGCAACATCTGAAAAAGCTTGAGAGCTACACTGGTTTTTCTTTCTGTTTTTTTTTTTCTTGAGTGACAGAAGAACTCTATGACATTTAAGAAAAGTATTACATAGAATTCATAAAAATTATGTGTTTGGAATCCTTGTGGCAAAGTAAATGCCAAGCAGTGTTCAATTATGAACTACTGGAATCAGGTGGATACTCTTAATATTTAACCATGTCCATAAATGAGTCAGTTGTGACATGCTGACAGGAACCTGAGGTGTAAGAACCAAGGCTGATAGGATGTATATGTTGCTTCTCATGAAAAATGCAGTTTTTCTGTCCCTCTTGGGAGGTTCTGGCCTTTAAAGAGCTTAGAACAATACTGCTGCAACAGGTGCCACACTACTGTCATGCCCCTCCAGTTTAATTCAATCATATGAGAGCTTGTTTTGCTCAAACACCTGGAATGCCTCATCTGGTTTTATTTGTTTTGGTTTTATTAGTAAGAACAAAAACTGTTAAGTTAGTGGCTCTTTTTGCTTCCTTTCATGATGGAAATAGGTTTATTTTCTTTGGAAGGCAAATAATTTGGTGTCTGGGAAACAGAGGAGTAATATTCCTCCTGAAAATTGAGACTGAAGGGATTCCACAGGGGTTGTAAAACTTACTGAAAGAAGGAAACTACCTCCTGCTATGGCTTTCTGTAAATCCACACTGGGATCCACATGTGTCATTCTTGAGAAGCTGTCTGTGCATCTCTCAGAGCAAGGGTGGTGCAGCTGCTGTCCTTGCTGGAGCAGGTGTGACTCACAGTGCTCCACCCTTGTCTCTGGGGACTCTGGAGTCCAGGAGCTGGAAAAGAACAGTCCTGAGAGGAAGTGTTCTGGGAGCACGGCCCTGCTGCAGCCTCAGCCATTACAATTTCTTCTGAAACAGGAGGATTTTAGTATTGATTTATCTCTTTGAAACCTGCAGGTAGTATTGAGCAGAGGCTTTATTTGTGCTGTCACAAAATTTGGGCTGTCTTTCTGGAAGCAGAGTTTACATTAATTGCATAACAGATTCATGTTTCCCCAATGTTGACACAGTGACTCTTGAGTTTTTTTACATATCGATTTTAGATTGTAAAAATAAACTAACATGTAGCTTCATGTACCTCTAGTCTCTGACATTCTTTATATTTCTGAAACCCAAACGTATTTTGGAAACAATTAGAAGAAATCAGTACTTCATGGAGGGTATTTGAGTATTTAAATTGTATTACGTTTATTTGAACGTCAGCAGTACCCTTAGAATGTAGGACAGAAAGTTAGGAGACACTGTGTTTTAATCTGAATAAGGTGTTCTAACAGTTCGAGGAGTGTTGACAGGCTGTATAAGCTCGTTAAAATATTCTCCATTCTGAGAGTTTTTGTCTCTGTTTTTTGTTGTGTGTTGGGGGTTTTTTGCCTTTGCAGTGTCAGGGTTTAGAAGTGTAATGGCTTTTGCTCATGTGGTTTAGTAATGCCAGCTCTAGAATCATAGAGTGGTTTGGGTTGGAAGGGACTTTAAAGACCGTCTAATTCCAACCTCCTGTCATGGGCAGGGGCACCTTCCACAAGACCAGGTGGCTCCGGGCTCTGGCTTGTCCTTGGACACTTCCGGGAATGGGGCAGCCTCAGCTTTTCCAGGAAAGGAGAGAGCTTAAATCACATGTCAACACATGTGTCTCTTCCCAGGTGTGTCTCATATGCTGGTCGCAGCAGCAGTAATTATACAGGAATATTTTTAGAAGTTTAGAGGGTTTTTTCTAGGTTTGCTAGCCATTTCTTGCATCTAAATGTGTGGCCTCATTCAGCCAAATGGGTTTAGCTGCAGCTCTTGCTCTGCATTCTTCCAGCATTCCCTGAGGAAAATGAGTTCACCATGCTTGGGGGTGCAAGCCAGCATTCGTCTGCAATTGTCTCATCTCCCTACTGCTGGTGCTCTGGACAGCCCAGATCGTTTAGAAACCCCCCCCTCCAAAAAGAGACATTAAGGTGGAAAAAGTGACTTCCAATACTGAAATTCTCAACTGCAAGTAGATGAGCCTCTGTTGCCAAGAATCTCTGTCCTTTGACAAGGTGCATGCAGTTTTCTCTCGAAGCGTGTACAGCCTAGACGATGGGAAAACCAGTCAAATGGATCTTCTCAGTTAAAGTAATATTGTAAGTACTTGGTCACAAAGGACGCCCCCAGTAACTCTGAAGCACAAAAAGGATTTAAAAATTAGATGGTAGAGTACTAAAATGCAATAATGCCTACATTTAAGGTGAAGATTTCTGACTTCAGAAGTTTTTAGTATTGCCTTAGATTCATTCAAACTTGACTCTTTTTTTCTTAATCATTTTTTAGCCTGTCAAAATCAATTTTAACTTCAGCATGTGACTGACAGTTTTTCTTAGTTGTCAAATTGAGCTTCAAGAAAAAGAAAAGAGAGATGTCTAATTGCTTTTAGTTCTAAACCAGTGACTGTTTGGGTACATTTCTGCAACTCTTAAAATAGCAAGCAACTATAACAATACCAGGCAGAAATATATATGGCCATAACAGGACCAAGCCAGCCAGGGAATCCGTGGCATAATAGATAGACAGGGAAATGGGAACAATGGAATTGCCTTCAAACATAAAGGCTTTTAACGTAACAAAAATAACAAACGTAAAAACCGCATGGTACAAGGGGCAACCTCCAAAGACCTCAAAATCCAGAAAAGCATGGAGGTGTGGACAGCACAGGATCTATCTATTACAAGGATAAGAATAACAAAACCATATATATAGTGGGCAGCCAGCCAACCATTTATGAAAACCAAGAACAACGCCTATTTGTAACAAACTGGTTAACATATTAATTCCCATGAGACAACTTTTCTTTCTGTTCTCTCACCATGATGTAAAAGGATGTCCTTTCTCCTAGCTAGGTGTCTCTCAGGGTTTGAAGCTGAAGCTCTCTACATCTGCAGGTGAAGTCAGCTCCCTGTCCACAGAAATTTCCACAGAAATGTACTCTGTTCAGTGTTGGTGCCTGATAAGAATTCCTTTAAATAGTTGTCAAGAAGCTTATAAAATCCATTACTGTGAAATCATTTGTTCAGACATGCAACTTTTAATCTGAGATACATTTAGAAAATGTTGGAAGTTAATTGAGGAAAGGGATAGCAAAGAGACTACAGCATCACAAGAAGTAACACATAGCACTTGCAGTCACATTTACACAGTAACCTGGAGGTCTAATTCTAGCTTCTAGATATGTGCTAGGTGGAAGCTAGCACATACTGGATTCAATCCAAAAGTCAGTGTGGGTGTGGTAGTGTTGGGTTCAGCACACAGTGCCCAGCTCCACCTGCCCTCAGTGATTAATTTCTGTGCTGTCTTGAGTGTGTCGTTATTTGTTCACAATGTTCAGAGGGACCTCAAATGTTTGTACACAGAGCGCAGTCATTCTTTGTGCACATACACCTGTAGTATTTTCTGTCTGAGGATCTTAGAGAGTTTTTAAAATAGTTATTTAAGTAAAGTGATTGTTGAAAAATGCTGGCACTTGTAGTGCAAAGCTGTGGACTGTTTGCAGCCATGAAGAGAACATGTATCTTGCCAGTGTTCTGTGGTGTGGAAAGGATGCTGAAAAATGTCCAGTTTTGCTAGCTATTTGAATAAGTTTTTACGAGTGTCTGTGCGGCACTCTGGTCCTTGGTTGCACCTGGTCATGAAGAAAGAAGTTGGTGCAGAAGTAACTGAAAAACACAGTTTTTGGTTTTTTCTCCAGTCTTCACATTCTCTGTGTCTAGAATTGCTAGATCTGGTCTTTATTTCTTCCAACTCACCATGACATTCCAGCAAGTGGGACCATTTGGGCCCGTAATAGAACAAATGCCTACTTTTTACAACCAGGCTGTTGCTGATGGCAGCAATAAGGAAGTTGTAATGCCTCCACCTTCTGGGTGGTGTGGCAGGAGTCCAGTGGCTGGTCACTGTCAGCTGTGAGCACCTTGCATTTCCACTGCCACTGGAGAACTCTTTCCTCTGTCTTAGGGAAAGTCCCAAACAGTATCTTTGTTACTGCTAGCATCATTTTTAAAGGCAGAATTTATATTTGTGATGTGGCACTGCCCTCTAATTCCCTCTTCCTCTTGCCCTCAGTCTGTTTCCAGTCTGCTTTCTGTTGGTGGAGGGACTGATTGACCTTGCTGCCACTTTATCAGAAATGGATTTCTGATCTTTCTGGTCAGCTTTTAAAAGCATTAGTTAATTTAGGAACTGACTTCTGGCTTGAGTCATCAGAAGGGTGAGAGTCCTATTGCATTATGTACTTTTCACTGTCCCAAGATATTGAGGGGCACTTAAACTGGAAAAGCTCAGAACTAGTGCTAGCTAGATGAGGCTGTGTTGTATTTCAGCAGAAAAATCTGTGCAAGAAGATCCCAAAGAAGAGTGGTGAGAAATTATTATTATGTGCACCATTGCTTTAGGGCCAGTAGAGCTTTTTATCCATTTGTAGAGGTAATTCAGGTTTTAAAAATTAGGACTAATTGTTTCATAAATGAAAAAATCAGTTACCTTCAGATGAAAAATTACAGCTGTTTGAGTGCTTGGTAATTGTTTTGTCTAAAGCTAATTACTAGTGGTTTTTCTTGTGGCTAATAACAGACTGGTTCATGGAACATTAACTGATGTGTATGTCTTTATTGCACTGTTTTGACTCCTGCTCTTCATGATTAGGTTCTAACACTGTCTTAAACAAGTGTTGCAGTGGTGCCTCCAAGACCTGTCTGTGATGTAAATCTCAGTGTTAACCAGATGGCCTGCATTTTGTTTAGTAATAGTAGTCACTAAGTGCTTCTGCTAAAATCAAACTTTCTTTGCACTGAAGCAAATGTAAGGGCTAGAAGAGCATGGTAGAAATTACTTCTCAGTACCTTGGGAAACGCTGCTTGGCAAGCAAGATGGAGAAGTCCTTTTTTGAGTTTTGTTGAAGTATATAAGTTGTCTCCTCTGCAGCTCTGAGAGCAGACTTTTCTTGTGTCATTGATGCCTGTATGTATGGGCCATCTTGTCTGTTGTTTAGCCTGACAAATCGATACATACCTCCAGGCTGAATCCTGCAAGAAAGACTCATCACCATGTAGTACACACACAACAGACCTGACGTTACAGATACCCTTCCCTAATGCAGATCCCTAGATAGGTCTGTGCTGTTTCTCATTGTTTCCAAAGCCAGACCGTTCCATTCTCAGACTTTTCTGCTGAATCTGCAGCAAAATTAATCTCTGCATGTGATTTAGTATGCAACAAAATGATGGCTGTTTGTTTTCTATGAGAGGGGCCCTGCACCTGGAAAAACTGCTGTTTTTCCAGTGTTTAAAATAGATACTTTAATGTGAAAACACTCGCTATGAAAGTTTAAAAAAATAAATCTGAGTCAAATCAGCAAATGGATCAAAAGAAAAATGTTTACAAATGTTCTCAAGCACAGCTATTATTCATTTACTTATCTTCTTTCCTAGTGCTTTGAACTCTTTGTGTGGAGACAGGAGAGAAAATTTTTTAAGCTCATTAGCTTTAGCTAAAGTATTCTGTGTCCTCAATTATTTTAGTTGTACCAGCTTGACAAATTAATTAAAACCTAGGTAATTAAGGCTTTTCCACTAACTCCAGCAGTTCAGTGCAATGCTCACTTACCTGTAAACTCTGTCTTTCGGGAGGAGAAAATGAAAAACCAACCTATCTCTAAGAGTATTTTGATTCACGTATATGCATGTTCATGCTTGCTTTGCACGTGAGATGGTACCATTCTTGAACTGACAAAGAGACCAAAACCAGTTACTTCTAATCCACTTTGTGATCAAAGCCACTTGTGCTGATCTGTGTGAATTGCCAGCTGGGGAGTCACTGCAGAACAGTCTATGCCCTTGCACACATCCTTGGAAGCACTCAGTTCCACCCATTGCTTACTTCTCCAGTGGCTAGGAGAAGTAATGAAGTTGAGAATAAAATGGAAACCAGGCACCAACTGCTGCAAGTAGGTGTTATGGGCATGGCACAGTGGCTTTGCAGTGAAGGGTTCAAAGTCATCTCTACTGACTGGACAAAACATTTGTGTGAATTGGATCCTGTGGCTCAGTTTATGGGTCTGAAATGAATGTCACGAAGATGCACATTTCCTCAAAGGATTTAATTTCTGCCTTTGCTCTCTCTGCCAGGGAGGAGGATGAGTACTCAGAGCTGCAGTCGGAGCTGAGCCAAAGCCAGCAGGAGGTTAACGAAGACTCTCGCAGCATGGACCAGAACTCTGTCTCGGTGCCAGAGAACCAGTCCACCATGGTCACTGCAGATGTGGGTGAGTTGTGTTCTTAGCAGAAGTGATAACTTCCCACCGCAGAAAGGTATCACAGCTTTTGAAATGCAAATCCAAGTATTTGGTGAGGAAATGAATGAATGTAGGATGTGTTAATCACAATTGATGCTGAGCTTCTACACGGCTCTGAACTTAAATGTGAAGTAATCTCTGTGCCTTGATTGTAGAATCATAGAATCATTAAGTTTGGAAAAAATCTCTGCGTTCATTGAGTCCGACTATCAGCCCAGCACCACCACCACATTCACCATTAAACCATGTCCTCAAGTGCCATATTCACACAGTTTTTGAACACTTTCAGGTATGGTGACTCCACACACCCCCTAGGCAGCATATTCCAACAATTTACAACCCTGTCTATGAGCATATTTTTCCTGATAGCCAATGTAAACCTCCCCTGGTGCAGCTTGAGGCTCTTTGCTCTTGTCTGGTTACTTGTTACCTTAGAAAAGAGTCTGACCCTGACCTGACTGAGGCCTCCTCTCAGTTGTAGAGAGCAGTAAGGTCCCCCCTGAGCCTCCATTTCCTCAGAAGCAGACTTTCTAGCAGAATTTTGGTGTAATCCTCACTATGGCAGATTTCCAGAATTCTCTTCACAGGTCTATTTCTGTTTTCTATTCAATATTGTTTGTAAGTGCAAGACTTACAACAGGACATTTGTATTTTCCCGTCTAACATTTTTAGATACATTGATACAACAGTATTAATAATAATGTGACCGTGAAGTGACTGACCTAAGGAATTCAAAATATTTAATAGCGGTTTTTAAAGTTATTAAAAAATGGATGTTTTACTTTCAAAAGCTAGTGCTTACTGTTAAGTTCCTATTTGAACAGATTCAAATATGAGGATTTTTTCTTCCTTAATTTTCTTCTTACCAAAAAAAAAAAAAAAGGCAATTAATTTGCTTTTCAGGATTTATTTTGTCTTCATGAAGTGGAGCTGAACCAAGGTTTGTGGACGTGAACAGCAAGTTGTCTGTTTAAGTTTGTTCTAACAATGAAAAACATGGCAGCAGAAAGACATACAATGTAGAGACCTTGAAGATAAGGGGGATGATGTGTCTGTCTCAAAAACCAACAGTGATATAGCTCTGGAGCCAGCCAAAGATTGTTGGTAATAACACACTCTGAGGAGCAATAGATTGTGTCTGGGGAAGGGAGCCATGCAGAGGTACATGCAGCACTCTTCAGAGACAAATGTCCTTGTTTAGCTCTGGGACATGAGCACAACACAGAACACAGCAAGCACAGGGATGAGGCTGAGAAAGGGGCATTTGCTGTAGAGGGTAATCCAGACCACCTAAGACCCCAGAAGTCCTCCCAGCCATTTCTAGAAACGTCTGAAAGAACAGATTGCCCATGATAAATAATTTGCATGGAAAGGGAGAAATTTATCTCCAGAGTGGGGAAAATTTCCTTGTAAACAGGTACCTCCACAAAGCGGAGTGTTTGCTTTGCATGTGCAATCCAGCATCCTGAACAGCTGAATCATGCCAGAGCCAGGACTGGTGGTCTTCCTGTCTCTTCTTCTCTTTCTCTCTTTTCCCTTTTACTCTTTATCAAAAGCCACTGCCATGTGCTTATGTAGTAGATCAGGGCCTAACCTGACCCGGTTTCCATGCCAAGTGTGTATTTCTGAGCTCTGTGGACCTTCTGGCTTTCGTCATTCCTTTGACCACAAGCATCTGCAGTCATGGGTGCACCCTTTCCCTTAAGGGAAGGGCTTACAGATAGCAGTGGACAAAATAAGAATGTTATCTCTAGGGATTCCTGCATTTCTTCCATATTTTCCTTCTATCCATGGACCCTGTCGTTTTTGGATGTTGTTTTCGTAGTCTTATGAAAATAAATTGCACACACACGCATAAATACAGGAATATGTATAATTTTAAGTGTTTCTAGATACAGATATATACGGATAAAAAAATCATGCTCTAATAGCCCGTTTGCATGACTCGCTTACTGCCCTGATGGAGTGACTGCCCCAGTGGGTGACTTAGTAAAACCAGTAATACCTCATGACATACTAATGCATGTGAATCTGCTGCTCTGTTGCTACAGGCAATAAAACGCCTAGAGCTAGAGCTGAGAATGCTCTCCAGTAAGTCTTGCAGAGCTTGTGATTGGGCTGTGCTGGTTTTCTGTCAGAAATAAGGTTCTCACATTGTAAACTATTTATTTTATGGGGGAAATGTCACCGTCAGAACAGATCCCAGCAGACAAGGTCTTGTGAAGGTTTTTTAAGTGTACAAAATGTTTATTACAGAAGTTGTTATGGAAAAAAGCAAATTAAAGCAAACAAAACACAAGGTTCTTACAACTAAGCATTCTGCTTACTATATCCTGCTTGTATGTGAGTGATAGTATTATTATTAAGGGCTTTTTTGGTATTACTATAACACATGGATTGCTGCTAATCAGGAAATAAAATGACTTCCCAGAAAAAACTTACAAGTTTCCCATTCAAATCTTTCATGCGATGCTGTAACGTCATTCTAAATGCTTCTTTTTGGTCAGCAGTAGAGTGGCTGTGGAATTAGATTAATGATAATGAGTTTGCAATTTTTTACTTTCTGTTCCTCTCATTCCTTTATCCAACAGCTCTCAGTATTTCCTTGCACAGGGTGGTATCAAGGCAGTCTGCAATAAACTGGTGACTCGTGTCTTTTAAAATTCAGACACAGCTTGTTGCCACACTGCTTTAGTGCCCTGCAAGAACCACAGCTATGAGACTACCACGAAGTTTTGACCATGGTGAAGCTCTTGCAGCAGCAGTACAGGAATCACACCTTCCACCAAGAATGCCTGCAGCTGTTTTTAGTGGGATAGAGGAGCTGCGGGTGTGCTGCTGCCTTATAGTGCACCCCTTGTGTGCTCTGGTGTGACTAGCTACTTCAGACTCTTACTTAGCAAACCAGAAATACTGACTGGCACACGCAAGAGACAGCACAAGAGCGAATTCTGCCACAGGTCTTGCCTTAGGAGCTGCCACTGTCCATCACCAGGGGTGACCTAAGAGAAATGAAAATAATTTATGGAGTGGGCTAGCAAGGTACAGAGACCCACCTGCTTTCACAGAACTGGATGATGCTGTGGCAGTAGGCACTAGAAGAGGTTTGCCTAAAGATGGGAAAGGAAGTCATTCTCTGTGATACTTTATAATTAAAATAGCATTGTTGTATAAGCTGGTAATATGGTTGTAGTATGGAACATAACATGCTGTGGTGTTGTAATCCCTGAATATTCTGCAGTTTTATTTGAAGGAGTAGCTATTAAATAAAACATAGGCTCTAAGGTAGTTGGTAGGGATCATTTCTATAAACACCACAGTTTTTAAAAATAAGGCAGTACCTAAGTACAACCACAAAAATTCTTCTGAAAAACATCAAGTCATAACATCCCTGAATGTACCAGACAGAAAAATGTTGTACTTACAGAGATGAATGTATGACATTAATAAAATCCGGATAATAGACCTTAAATGGCCAAAAGAATAACATTAAAAAAATCACAGAATGTAAGTATGTAATATCTTAAAATGTTCTTCAGAAAAGAGGGGTTTTGAAGAAAGAATGAACACTTCAGATAAGCTGTAGGTCTGTTGTTTGTCAGATGAGAGGTAGCTCATGATTTCAGTTGATGTGATTATGGTATTTAAGCCTATCAGTTGTTGAGAACAAAGTGGTAGAGTGCAAGGACATTCTTTGAACAGTATCAGTCCTGGCTGTTCTGCAGCAGACGCTTCCTGGTTGAGAGTTTGTGTTTTCACTGAGTCACTAATTGTTGTGATGTTTGTTTTGTTTTGTCTTGCTTTCTTTTAGATAACTGTAGTGACTTGAATTCAGAACTGCAGAGAGTGCTGACAGGTCTGGAAAATGTTGTCTGTGGGAGGAAGAAAAGCAGCTGCAGTTTATCAGTGGCAGAAGTGGACAGGCACATTGAACAACTCACTACTGCCAGCGAACACTGTGATTTAGCCATTAAGGTAATGGTAACATTAGGCTCTAAAATGCTCTAGTGTGTTCATTGCCTGAGACACCTGATCACTTCTGTAGTAATCACACTTTACTTCCAAAAGCGTTAAAAGTACTTCACAGGAGTCAACTCAAGTTCAGTGTGTGTTTATACACTGTATGTAGTACATACACTGTGTTTGTGGTTGGCTAAGTTGTGATTGGCTGCCTTGAAATATAAAGCTGTCCTGGTTCCAGCCAGGACTGAGTTAATTTTTGCAATTAATTCGCAGAACAGGGCATGGCCAGGTTATCCTTTATCCCTCATTTTCCAGGAAGGAGGGAAGAGGTCTCTTCCTGGTCATGTGTTCTTAGGGGTGAGAGCTCATGTGCAAATTGCCCATTTCTTGTACACTCCCTTATTAGTATTTTTGCTGTTAATGTTCATTTTCTTACCTCATTGATGCTTCCAGTAAATTGTTCTTATCTCAACCCTTGATCTTTTGTGCCTCTGATTTCCCTTTTCATCCCTGCACAGGAGACTGGGGAGTGAGTGAGCAGGGCATGGTTTGGAGTTGTTTCAGTGGGAACACTATATTGAGGAACCATTAGGAGCCATTCCTATACCACAGTGAGAGCTAATTTAACACTAAACATTGGTTGTGCATTAGTTCAAATAAGATAAGTTAGTCTCAGGAGCAAATAATTCAAGTGATACCTGTATGTGTTGCATTTATTGTGGATGTAACAGAACAAGCAGAGGGATATTTGCTAGCACATGTAACAAAAGGCACTGTAGTTCAGAACCTGAAAGCAAGAAAGCCACAAAGAATCTTCCTGTATACAGGGGAAGATGTGAACAAGCAGGTGGAAAGGTGTCAATGAGTCATTTATACAAGAAAAATTGTACTGACAGTTTGCTCTTAAAGTGAAGAGGTTAGTGACCATTTTAGATGGCTTTGACAGCCTTTTATCCTACTGCTGGGAAAAGTTCCTTCTGTCCCTGGTGGTGCCTGAGGAATATAACAAAATAGAAAGAAATTAATGTTGAATAATCATTTGAAGAATGTGTGTATGTTTGACTTCTGGTCTCTTTGGATCAGTATTAAAGCAGTTTATTCAAGTGTCTCAGAGGATTAGGATCAGTACTTTGAATGTTGCCAAGTACTGTTTGGAGTTTTAGGGTTAACTGTTTTCAGAAGCCACCACTATTCACCAAAAGAGAGACTCTGGATTCTGGGAAATAGGTAGAGATCTGCCTGTGAGAGGCCCACAGAGGTATCTGAAGTGAGATGTATTTAATAGAGGAAAAACTACACTCTCCATTATTGCACTCCTGGCTCCAGGTCATTTCTGCTTTCCTGTTTCCTGAGAGAAAAAATTGAGAGAATTTTATAGTGGGTGGAATTATGAATGAAAACCTGAAGTGTTCTGACTGTCTTTTGCCTTGGCTGTTTGCTTTTTTTCTTCACCAACAGACTAAAGCATTTAAATGTTTCAAATCCTTCATCTTTGGTGGTTAAATTTCCTTTTACTGTAGTTGCTGATGAATTATTTTTTTCTGCTTTTGTAAAATTATGTCACCCTAGCTAACTCAATTGTTTCTGTCCCACAAAAACTGAAAAGACCTTGAAATTAAATCTATCAGATTGTCTTACAAACTGAACAGATACAAAAGCATACTTTGAGGAAAGGATTTAAGAAAATTTCTACATAATAGTCTGGTAAATGCTTTGTTGATTTTAGAGAGCACATCAGTAATTGATATCTAACCAGTAAAATTTTGCTGATTAAAAAAGTTTTCCAAGCTTTTATATAATAAATATTTCCAAGCATAAATATTTCCAAGCTAAGTATTTCCAAACATGAAACATTTGGAACATGAGAACACCTGTACTAGTCAAATCAAAAGTCCATCTACCTAGCGGCAGATGCTAATAGAAAGACAGCATCAAAAATGACATGCATAGTATGTTCTCCTTCTTTCAGAGATGCTTTCATCAAAGTGGGTCTGTAGAGACTTGAAGATGATGTCTTTGTGTTTAATTGTAATGGGTGGAATTATCTTCTTTGTTTCTATCTACTGTGTTTTTACTGTGTCTACCTGTCTAAATTTTTTGCCTCCATAAATTCCGTTAGGAATAAATTGTGCCATTGAGTTACACCATGTGAAGAAGTACTGCTTTAGTGTGTTTTAAACCTGATACTTGCCGATTTAATCTGATACCACATCTGTAACACAACACTCCTTGTAAAGAAAATAAGGCATAGAGCACTGATGACAGTGTCAGTGACAAGGCTGGAATTACCATGATATGACATCCTGCTGCCCTGTGCTCAGAACACGACATTGTAATTCCATCCCATACTCCGTGAAAGTATACCTGAATTATCTGCTGTGCAGCAGCACACCGGGTAAAACTGCTCTATAATGCTGCTTTGAAGAAAATGAACATTATTTTACACTGCTGTATCTGTTGCAGTGTTTATGTTTTGTTTTCCATGGAGGATGGTTGGTAGCATATTGGACACCAGAGAATTGCCGTAGTGGTAGTGCTTTGAGAAGCAGTGGCTGAGGAAGGGGAGGGGTTGGGAAAATAGCAACACTGGAGCAGGGGGAATAAAGAGGAAGGAGGCAGCAACAGAACTTCACATTAGAGGGGTGAGAAAACAGCAGGGGAAGTTCTAGGGGGGTGTGGGGAGGAGAAGGGAGAGGAGAAATGAGCAACAAAAAGGGTCATCAAAACAGAATGCTCTTGCCATTACAGAGCTTCTCTTTATATCATGAGATTAACCACCCTGTGCTTATTCAGAACTTGAACTCATCCTCATGCTGTGTTGAAATAATTTACCTGGTCACAATTTGAGACCTGTGGGTCGAAGTGAAGCTAATACGAGGGAGACCCGCAGCTTCGTTTATCTCGCAGAGAGGTTTCAAGGCTCTGTTTTTTCAGAAAATTTTGGTCGTTTCCAAAACAGCAAAATCTGTAAAAGCAGAATTACAGTGTAGATACTCTGATACTCCATCAATAGAGTTTCATAATTGTGGCTCTAAATGTATTGCAGTTTTATGTAAGAGAGAAATGAAATGCAATCCAAAAGGATAAACTAATAAAATAATAATATTTCATTGATGCCTTAAAGTCAGACAGTGCTGAAAACACTGGGAAGATTTCTTGCAGAAATAAAAAAAAAATAAGTTGTGTCTCCAGCTAGGTTTGTCATTTTCAGCTGTACTCTAGTTAGTTCTTTTGGGTCATGTATTCTTAAATCCTCCCAATATAAAGAAATAAATAAAACAGTAAATATTCAGTAATATATAGAATCATAGATTCATAGAATATGCTGAATTGGAATGGACCCATCAAGATATCAATGTTCTTTTAAATAAGACAACTAAATATATTATTATTAACCTTGGTGCATCGGTTGTCTTCCATATTAGATGTAAAAGTACAGCCTTTACCTGTGACTTGTTTTTTCAGTTAGTCAATGAAATTAACTTTTCTGCATTGCCAGTGATGTCATATATTCTTTTATTTTCCGTGTTTCTTCCCATCATTTTAATACACACTGATTCCAGGGAGATTCAAAAGCTTATGGGCAACATTTGGAGTGGTTTTTCTTGTTGCATTTATCTTCCATAGTTCAACATGGAGCACAGGCACAGCATACACTGGGTAGTGGATTCCAAACTGCAGGCAGTTGCCCAGCAGGCTGTTACGCTATGTTTCAGCATGTCAGTGGCCAGCTTGACAGTCAGTTCAGGCATGGGAGTATTCCCTTTCTGGTGGTGGGTGATCGTAGTTCAGTTTCTCCCACTGGCAATTCCTGAATGTCACTCGAAGTGAATGGCGTTTACAAGCACAGCTTTGAGCACAGAGGTGGGACAGGAAGTGCAGGATGGCATTGTGTCCCAGAGAGCCCAGCCTTCTTTTAGCTAGTAGAAAGGCTATAACGTCCCCTGTAAGCCTAGCCAAGGCCAGAGTTATTTCTTTTATTTTGCTGTCACCTCAAGGAAAGAACATACTCAAGGACATGGGAAAGAAGAGCCCTTTTTTAATCTTCTCTCACTCTTTTCCCTTTTGTGGCTTTGGTCTAGCAATGAGTAAGTACCCATGCCATGCACATTCACAGACTGCTCATTTCTGCCTGTTACTCTGCAGAGAAACAATAAGTACAGTGCTTGCCCATGACAAGAAGTCATTAATTTGTGCTAAAGTATTCTGAGATTAAACTACCAGGATTGCTGTCATTCAGTGGTGACATGTTTTATATGCATGTATTTGTCTGCTTTGGTCATTTGTCAGTATGAAATGTTCTAATGAACTGGTCAAACTGAAAGAAAGTAAGTAATAATTTTGTTTGATATTACTTAGCAAACAAAAGAAGCAAGCTAATGGTGTTGAGAGGCTGGGAGTGTATAAGTGTGTAGAGTTGCCTATTAACACACATTTCTGTTACATCTTCCCATTAGTCCTCAGTCATCTTCGCCCCTTTCTGTTTGTTGATGACTCTGTTTTTGCAGACCGTGGAGGAGATTGAGGGTGTGCTGGGACGTGACCTTTATCCAAACCTGTCTGAGGAGAGGTCTCGGTGGGAGAAGGAGCTGGCTGGCCTGCGGGAAGAGAATGAGAGCCTCACAGCCATGCTGTGCAGCAAAGAGGAGGAGCTCAACAGGACCAAGGCCACCATGAATGCTGTCCGTGAGGAGAGGGACAGGCTGCGTAGAAGGGTAAGGCTGCCGCACAGATGATGCCTTCTTCTTCCTCCAACCTGTGTGGGTTTGTCACCAGAACAGGCTTCTCTTTAATCTCACTTTCTGTGCTGACTTGTAGGTCCTTTTGTTTTCAAAGCTTTGTTTACAAATGACAAAACTAGTTCAGAACTGAACATAATTGAAAAAGAGTGTGTGAAAAACAGCCCGTGTGCATAACAGCCTGATTTTAGAAATCATGTGTTAACAGAAAAACTGATATTCATCTTCAAGGAAGCATATGTAACTTAGATATAGAGAAAGCAGATGTTCATCTAGTGAATTTTCCTGTGAGGCAGTTTTTCCTGTAAACAGCAAATATTTCTTAGTTTTTGATGGGAATTCAATTTGTGATTAGGAGAAAAGAAAAAGAGCAGGACTCCTGTCAGTGGGTAGTAATTATCATACTGAACAATGAGTAGTTCCAGCCATGTCCTGCTTCTCTGTCTACATTTTATGATGCTTTAAGGTCAGATAAAGGCTTTGTGCTTTGTGTGGAGTCCAAAGTAAAAAAAACAGGTGGAAGATTTGTTCACAACAAAGATGAAAGATCCAAGAGAATGTGACCTCAATCTCAGTTACTTTTAAAATTTGTTAACTTTGTATCTGGTAAATTTGTGGAGTTTTGGCTACATATGAAGTTCTTTTTTGTTTTTTAAATAGGCAGTTTCAAGTTTGTGTTCAGGCTCAATGACAATTCAGACCACCATATCATGGTAAATTATTGCAAGTGTTACTCTTTACCTATTGGCAGGAGATGAGCTTTTTTTACTGTTCTAAACCAACATAGTTCTCCAGTGACTGTGCCGTTATAGCATGAACCTGCATCGTGTGAGAGTTGCAATCTTCAAAACTCCCTGTCATCTTCTGACACTAAAAAGGCATGTGTGATGAGGCAAGAACAGTAATCTCGTTTCATATAAAGCAAGACCACTTCAACTTTTCCTTTGTAAATTTTTGTTTTATTATATACTGTAGGTTGTTCTCAGTCCTGAAATTTTTGGACTGATAGTGACAATTTTTTTTTTTAGTAGAGGCAATACTACTCCTTGAGCTACAGAATTAGCATTTATGGACTGGCTGAATTATTGCCAAACTGAGGGAGTGGACATCAACACAAGCAGGCAGAGAGTTGAGTGTGTGCTTGAGAAATTTGCTTACACAAATGCAGATACGAACACTCCAGGTGATATGGATCAACACCAAGATATCAAACAAGAGAAAGTTGGGTGGCCTTGAGCAAAGAAAAAGATTCCTGTTTTGAGAAGTACATGAGGCAAGTTTAGAGGTTTGAAAGAATGGTAACAAGAATTTATACTGACATCCAGGAGCTCCTCAGCTGAGAAACAGAAAAGGGGAAAGAATTGGTGTTGTACCTTCAGGGATTATCATGGCTGAGCCATAGTAGCAAATTCAGTCCTGTGAGGTACCAGAAAAGTTATTTTCAATAAGGATTGGAAAAACTGTATAAAGTGTGGTGAGATCTGATCTGGAATGTTATATGCCATTCTTATCTCTTATGCATGTAAATTGGTAAAAAATTATGTAGACAGTGATCAGAGAAATAAGGGTTGTCTGTGGAGAAGGGACTTGTCCTGTTCAGGGTGGCAAAAGAAATCCTTGATTTGTCTTCTCTTTATGAATGCTAGAGAAAGAAAACAAAAATGGGGATAATGGCTCTCTAAACTCAGGGACGAAACTGGAGCAAGAACAGATTAATATGAACCACTTGTGGCTATATGAGGCCAGAAGTTAGACTGTGAGCTGTCAGACACAAGAAGATTGTGGTTCTGAAGAAACAGGAATGAGTAAGGCTATTTAGTACTTTCTGAATGGAGCTTTAAAATATTAATATGCAAGGATACCTGTTAAAACCAGGATCATTGCATTAGGATTGTATCTGAAGGAAAGCAGAAAAGGCCAAGTTAATTCTAGAGCCTGCCTTAGCATATTTTTACGATTCTGCTATGTTTTGTCTGCCTGACAAAGAACTGGTTCCAGGTCTCTATTATGGAAGCATCTCTGGTGAAACCAGAATTAAGGTCATCAGCTCAATTCAGTTGTTTGCAACTACAGAGGACTTTACTGAAATCTGGTAATTAATATTATCATGCAGAACAACTGATTTATTACCCCCACTAGATAAGTTAGTTCGTGACATGTGACCCTGTCTGCACACTGTGTAATTGTTGCACTAGAGACGATATTTACATTTTTAATGTAGCTTCATGTCCATAGTGGCAACAAGATAAATGTTTTCTTTGACCTATGAAATATTTTCTATATGCCACCTGAACTTAAGAGTCACTTCAAATTATTTCCCTGGAGAGTGGGAAAGGAGATCCAACTAAAATTTAGTTATTGTCCTTCTCAAATTAAATTGGGTGAAGTGAACAGGCTTGAAGTTGACCAGATCAATAGGTCTGTTCCTTCAGACCAGTGCCTGTAATCAAGCAGAGTGCTTTCAATACATTTTTCTCAGGCTTGTTGGAGATTTAATTTAATTAGGTATTTACTGTGCTCAGTTAACAGATTGAGCTGCTCTCTGGAACAGTAGCTAAGAAACAACATATATTCAGAGTTTTTTTCTCACAGGTCATTAGTGAGTGAGGTAATTGCTTACTTCTGTAGGTTGTCTGCAGTGTAACAGCTAATTTCATAATGCAGAGGTTTATTTTACCCCTGTATTATTTTGCTGCATTAAAAATAAAATCTATTTAGGTCCAAGCCAGTCAGTGCCCTGGAAACTGCTTACACATAGCCGACCATAATCCTGAATCCAGTAATACAGATAAGATGAGGGGAACTTCTGTACTAGTCTGTGGGATTAATATTACTATTACATGAGAATAAGGCTGTAATCAGGTTAGCACTATTTACAACTGCTATACAGAATATCGTTTAAGTAGTAGAAGAAAAAAAGTAATATTTGAGTTTTTAGACAAAAGCCCTTGTATTCAGCAGGGGATCCAGATAGCAGCAGTGAAACAGCATATTAACTCCATCCCAACTGCAAAATAAAAACTGTGGGTTTTTTAATTACTGTCCATGGCAGTTGCCAGATGAGTGGTACCTCAGCACAGTCTTAAGGAACTGGTTGGCATAAAAAGCAGTGGGTGTGGGCAGCATTCAGGCTTCCTTGGGGCTGTTCTGAAGAACTAAGTCTGACGTGAAAAGGCAGTTCCAGCTCTGGAAGTCTGTTAAGTCTGTTCTCTGCAGGAGCCATATGTCAGCTTGTTCAGTTAATCTCATACTTCTGGTTGTGAAGGTTGTTCTGTACCTTCTCCAAACTTAGCTGAAATCACCAAACTGACCAGAACAAAAACACTTTATTAGCTGTCTTCAGCTAAGACCCTAATGAAAACATATGGAGTAGTAGAAAATTAGCATTTTGTGTGTGATCCCATCAGCTGCTCACATTTCCCACTCCAGAGAACTTTGATTTGAGCAGAGGGCTCTCCCAAAATGTGTGGTTCTTGTGGACAGTTGACACCTATCCCCTCCACTCAGATCTTTGGCCTTGCAGATGTTCTTGGGCCCATACTGTTTTCAGATGACATAAAGCTGGCAGGATCTGCTGGACTCTGTTTTGTAGTTACTCCTGTTGAGATCAGAAGGTATTGTTCCAGATTGCTGGAGAACACTGATACATTATGGTCCCTTAGAGATTATTATCCGTTTGCACAGCTTCAAGTGACTTTGGAGCTGTTTTGTCTACTTTGTCTCTTGATGAGCACCGGAAACCTGAGGTAACTGCCCAAAGCTATTTGCATTCTCTGCATCCTTCACTTGCATGCTATTTGCTTATGCAGCAGCATCTCCTCTTAGGTGTCAACAAAGTAGAGTTTTACTTCTGTTTCCAAGCTTGCATGCAAATACTCAGTATTTAATTGGCCTTGTAGATACCAGGAAAAATTTCTTTACCATACTCAGTCGATCACAACAGACAATACATAGGAACTCAGGCTTTATTGGTTCTGGTGGTCGTGATATAGGAGAGGCTGAGGATCATCTGGCTGAAAATACTAACACTGAATGTGAAAGGTAAGGGTTTTTTTTGGCTGGGAAGGACCCTTACCACTCAGAGCAGCTCAAATTGTTACACTGGTGTTTGATTTGGCACAGATCTGCAGTGTGCATGAATAAATTAGAAAGTGGGAGAAGATCACTCCCTGTGGTTTGTTGTACTTCATCTTCCTCCTCTGTGTAATAGGGGAAAGGAAATGAAGCAGTATTAAAATGCTGGGGGAGAAAAATGCTGTTACTTGAAGGGTTCAAAGTACTGTATGATGAAACAGGTCACGAGTAGGATAGAATGAAAAGAATCACAGGCATGTCCCTCATTTTAAACTGGTTTAGAAACAAAAGCAGCAGGTGTCCTTTGAATGTGGAAATCAGTGGCAAAACCAGGCAGTTTGTAGCTGTGGGTTTTTATTTAGGATATGTTAATGAATCATGTAGTTGTCACTATACATGTGTAAAATAGAAAGACTAAGAACATGCTTCTCAGAGTCATGGTTACAAATAATGAGAATATTCCACTGAAGTATTTTTCTATAGCCCATGATGCATTTGAATAAACATGTCTGTGGTGATTGTTAATAGCTTATAAGTCTTTCATAAACTGAGCATTGCTGTAGTGTGTCAGCCTCTTTTCTACCCTTGCTCTTTTATTTAGTTCTTAAGGTGATAAGAAATTACCCTTAATTTTTCACAATTTCCTACTCCAGTTCTCAACATTCACAGGAAAAAACTTAGAAATGCAACTCAACGGTTATTTCAATTGCAAAACATCAAATATTAATAAGTGACATTTCATGTTGCATATGTTTATATTAATAATAGGAGAACATCTGTTTTCTTTTGTAACTAGGCTATCCACTGCTCTGAAACCTAATGGATCTGTTGCCTTGTGTCTACTTAATGCACCTGCTCCTGCTCTTTCCAGGGTTCCAGCACTTATTTACTTCTGTAATTTCTTGGACTACTCCAGTCATTTAGAAGATCTTTCCGTTCCTTCTTTTCTGGATTTCTCAGACATGTCCCTGGATTTCTCCTTTTTCCCTTCATTCTCAACTCCTTTTTTTTTATTTTTTTCTGACCATGTGATAAGATCTGCTTGCCAGACAGTTTTGACGTCATTTTAGTGCTTCAAGAGTTTATAGCAATTTTTAAACCCTTCTGCATGTTTCTGTTTTTAGGCTAGTATGATGCAAGGACTCAAGAAATTTTACTTTAAATCCTTCCTGGTTATTCCTCCACCCAAACTGAGAAATTCACACTCTTCCCATCTTACAGTGTAACTTTTTTGGATTTGTTTCTATACTTGTCTTTACCCATTGCATTTTGCCAATTTTGTCATTGATTTCCTGTAAGATACTCCCTTTCTCTCTCTCCCATTTCCAAGTTTATTGTGTCTTCTGTGCAGTACTGCAGTTTATCTTCATTCTATGAGTTAACCTTCAGAATAATTTATATTACATTGGTAATGATGCTAAAGACTTGATAAAGGACGTCAGACAATTTTTAATCCTGCTTTTGAAACCAGTCTTTTCATAACCTGTGCATTTACTAAACCAGAGAGGAAAATTGCTCTTCTGAATTCTGATTTGGGGTATTTTTTCTCTTCTTTTATAATTCTTTATTTTTTCTGTAGAATAGCTACCAGTGTGGAAAAGTACTTTCTGAAGAGATGGTACATACTCCTCTATTTACAGTGGAGGTTTTGGTGACCAGAAATAGTTACCTAATGTATCTCTGGGCAGTGTGGTAGGTAGGCAACCCAGTCATGAGATGCTTGGTGAATGTGTGAATTGTGAGATGGACGATTTTACAGGTTAGGCAAACTTGCCCTGTTATCCTGCTCAGAATTAGCATCCAGTACTCAGTGTTGCTAAAATTAGTGCAGTTATTTATTTATAGCAGTCAGTTCAGCACGTGATTTCATAAATGAAAGCCTGACTTAGTAAATACATCAAGAAGGACAGATAAGCAGGCTCATGGTTACTTCTATGGTACAGTATTAAGGCAGTGAGTTGCACTGATTTAATAAGTGTGCTGTGCTCTGAATTTCCTTCTTGAAGTTTGTCTTGGTTAATGTGCCCTCCCCCCAAGTGCTTTCAATGCATAACCAGCACAAAGTTCTTCCCTGAGCAAAGCTTTATCTGAGTAACTCTTAGCTGTGTTCATTTCTCTTTCTGTTGCCAGTGTTGTTTTACAGATTTGTATGAATAATTAGCTTTGTAGTCCTGACCAATAGTCACTTCCCAGTAAGAAAACAGAATAAAAGAAACCTATATGCATCAAAGATTTGTGTCAAGCAGTCTTTGCATAAGTAGTTCTAAACTTCAGAGTCTATCAACACTTGGCGTTTAAGCAACTTTACCACTTCTTTCTTGGTTGCACTTAAATTTAAAATATTACTTGCTTTTGGCCTGCAATCTTCCAGGACTGGCTGCTGAGCATGGGTGAATATTTTAGCAATTTTTAAGTTGGACATGGAGGCTGGAGTTATATTGTATAAAGAATGTATCCAAATGGTCTTCCTGTTTGTTTGCTTTTAAAGAGTGCTGAAGCTTAAGCACTTGGAGAATTTAATTTGGAACAGTCTTGGTTGAAAGAAATAGTAATAAATGGCAGTTTTGACTTAATGAAGTTTTGAGGTTGCTGTTTTTTCCCAGGGTCAATGCCACAGTGCAAATCCTATCTGCACTGACATTCCACATCTGCAAGCAAAAATATGCATGTGTGGTTTATTTCAGGTTTATGCGTATCAACAGGCTGAAATTATTGGTTTGCACCAGTAGAGCACTTCTGGCCTTAAGGTTTGCATTAATGCAGCTTTACCCATGTTGAAGCTAAGTATGTGTGTCTGAACAAAGGAGGCCTCAGCTGCAAATACATAGAAGATACTTGCTATGGATGTGCACTTCATAGACTCTGCTCAGCTAACTTCATGAGATAATTGCAGTTAAGATACATAATTCTGGGTCAAGCACCCATATCCATTTTTCAGCAAGTTACTTTTCACATTGGGGGATCTGATTTGATATTTTGTGTACTTTAGTTGTTTGGAGTAATTTTGTTCAAGGTGTAGTACTCCTTTGCAACTGAACAGGGAACTTAGAAGTGCAGTGTGACTTTTTATGTTTTTATTGTTGCCACCTAGAGCTTTTTAAAAATACCATTTATGTAAAACACACAGGTAGTTTTTGGTTTTTTATTTTGTATTTTTTAAATACCTAAATATTCTTTTGACACAAAGTGCAGACAGTCTGTCCTTCAGTTTGCATACACGGAGGGAGAGGCAGGGATACTCTTCAGGAAATGGGAGCAGGCTGTAGAGAATTGTAGGAGGCATAAAATACTGCTTTGGTGACTGGAGAGCATTCCAACTTGAACTATTTCCTCTCTGCAGTAGGTTGAAGCATCTGTTGTGCAGAGAACACATGACTGCTGCTGCTGTTTCAAGCAGGCATTGATAAAACACTGTCCAGATGCACCTACACCTAAGTGTAAGCTTTGATGCAACTTTAATTTTGGGGGTTTTTGACTGAGAGACTTCAGCTTGCTTAGTCTTTGTATCAATGCATTTAGTATAAAATCCCACCTTTCTTTAGACAGTAGGAATCACAGTGGTATTTCATGCTACATACCAGAGGAGATACCAAGTGGGCTGAATTTTACTTGACTGGACTTCTGATAAAATTTCACAAGTTCTGTTTTGTAGAGGGACTGTACCAACAAAATCACATAGAAACCTGTGTATTTAAGGAAAACTGTGTTAAGGGGAATTTCCTCTTTAGATGGTTTGCCTTCACCTTCTCCCATCTCACACTCTGAGATCTGTGGGAAAAATGAGCTCTGTCACTTTACCTTGGGTCATAACTGTTACGATAGGCAGACCCATTTATTCCTGGTTAAGAATTATTCCAAGGTAAACACTGTAATCTTTAGCACAGCTATAGTTTGGTTCCTGCAGACCTTTCTTCTTTTTTTAACCTTTAAACTGAAAATCTTTTGACAACAGTTCTACAAGTATCTGATGTGTTGTGAGGACCATGCAGTGTTTGCAGGGTATGTTTACAAAGAGCTTTTGCAGACTGTTGGTTGAGTACTTTGCTGGTATTTTTTTTGTCTGTGCATTACTCACTAAATGGTAGCTTTAGTTGACTGTAGTTTTGAAACATGATTAATGTTTGAATTTCTTTAACCTTTAAATATGACCAAGTCATCATGTGATTTATTTATGTCAAGTGTTTTTTTTCAGCAGTGGAGTTTTCCATTAACAGAAGGATTGTTATTTGATTTGTTTAGCCATCATTATCTTAGGCTGGAGCATCAGCTTTACCCCAGAGAATGATTTCTATACCGATAGTACAGCTGAAACTTTGCGTAATTACTCTGCAGTGGTGTTGCATATTTCCACATTGCACATAGTTTAAAAAACTGATAGCAGTGGGATATTAAAATAACCTCCGCTCACTAGCTCCCCACATGAAAACTTTGCTGCCACCACAATACAAAAATGCAACTTCTCTGCTAAAGCCGGAAGCAATTAGACTTGGCTAGACAATGAGAAAATCTGCAGACTACTAAAAACCATAAACGTGTAAGAATCAGAATGTTTTGTTTTATTGCAGGTTCGGGAGCTGCAGACTCGGCTGCAGAGCGTGCAGGCCACGGGCCCGTCCAGCCCGAGCCGCCTCACTCCTGCCAACCGCCCCGTCAACCCCAGCACGGGAGAGCTCAGCACCAGCAGCAGCAGCAATGACATTCCCATTGCCAAGGTGGGGTTTGTGTGTTTGTAGCCTCTCTCATGACCTGGGAAAAGCAGGCTTCATTTTGTGCTGTGCAAGAGTGGGATTAACTGAGAGATGTTTAGGCTGTCTGGAGCAGATCCGCAAACTTGAACCATGGAAAGGAATTAAACATTATTGATTGTAGTTGTCTCAGTAACAATGCAGGGCTCAGTTGTCTAGTAGTTTACTTCAGCTTTGCAAATGTAACTAGAGAACAGATGGGATTTTTGTGATCTCTTTGGGGTGTGGGCTGCTGTGTAACCTGTGCAGCATTCTGACTTACAGATTGCTGAAAGAGTGAAGTTGTCAAAGACAAGATCAGAGTCTTCATCATCTGATAGACCTGTCTTAGGATCAGAAATCAGCAGCATAGGGGTAAGGACTAAGAACTGTGTGCATGCGTGATCCATGTTCCAATAAAAGCATTGTTTTCTTAATAAAAATTAATATATGAACTATCTGAAAATACTTTAAAAGCTACTTTGAGCAAAATATTTCAACGAAGAATATTTTACCCAGTATTAAGATCTCATTTTCTCATAACTAGTGGCTAGAAATCATGCTTATGAGTGACTTCAAGAGGAATGTTTTGGAGTCAGTTCCACCAAAATATTCTTCAAGAAGACTCTCCAGTTTCATTTCACAACTTTCAAGCAACAGCGAACTGGATTCTGCTATTGAAATGCCAGTGTAAATCAATAACGCTGTTGTTACTGTGTGTTAATATTTGTTTTACTGAACAACTTGGCTCTAACCTTTTGCTAAGCTCTCAAGAACACACATAACTTGTGTAGTAGGCTTTTTAAATATATAATGAAATAGTGGACTTCACTCTTGGTTAGCAGAATTTTAGAACAAAATGGCTTCTAAAATGCAATCTTGTAAATTTTCTATTCAATGTGAAATTCATAACTAAAGCTGAATAATTAATGCATTGAAGTGAGTGCATGCAAGCAAATGCAGTTCTCAATGCAGAAAGTGTCTGGGAGGAATCCAGTGGGTATCTGTTCACAATGATCTGTTAACTGCCTTGTGCAGGTGTCCAGTACCGTGGCTGAACATTTGGCGCATTCCCTTCAAGACTGCTCAAACATCCAGGAAATCTTCCAGACTCTCTATTCACATGGATCTGCTATCTCTGAAAGCAAAATCCGGGAGTTTGAAGTGGAGACAGAGAGATTAAATAGGTGAGCTGGAAAGTTAGATGTGCTCACACATGTTGTCTTACATGAGCTTCATGAAAGTTGACTACTTTTTTTACCCTTTTTGAACACGTCTTAGTTCAGTTCCAGCTCAGCTGTGGTAGCTGCAGATAAACATGGAATGTGATTGCTAAAGAGGAGATTGAATCGTATGCTAAAGATTCTTTCGATGAGTATGAGTTTGTGCATTATTAGATCAGCACAGCACCTTCCCCCGTCTGCACTATGGAGTGTCCCTCTCTGTGGCTGACCAAGTAGTCACGGCATCCTTTTTCATAAGACACATAGCTCCTTGAAATAAGGACTCCTGTAATTTAGTCTGCATCGTTCTGGAATTAGCTTGCTTGGTTTTGTCCTGAAGAAACAGAATAATAGCATTTAACTGTCTCAGTAAATGTACTGATGCATGGTGATGTGGCACCTATACCAGCAAATAGGTTTCTGTCTGCAGAAGAGAGATTGCAGCTTTCTGGTTGCAGTTAAAATACTGCTGGATGTTATCCTTTATCAAGCTCTATCAAAACCTGTGGTTTTTGTCTTTTCTGGCACATAAAATCAAAAATGTAGATCAGTAATGTGAGAAACGTGTCTCAGCATATCTCTAGCCAAATTCTGTCTTCCCCACAGCTAGCTCAAGTTTAGTCTGATCAGTACAATATCTCTTTTTGTTTATAGCTCATGTTTTTGTAGTGCTGGAAAACGTGATTCTTGTTTTCTTTTTTTTTTTTTTTCCTTTTTTTCTGAACACTGCACAATTACGCTTTGACAGCAGGTATCATTATAGAAGATGTCAAGATACAGAAAGTGACAGTTCTAGCATCTAGAAAGTCAGGGCTTTATTCTGGTAACTGAACTTATGGTATACTAGCCCTTCTCGTTCTTCTTTGTCAAGAAGTCAGTGATTTTAGAGTCCTTGATGGCATGGCTTTCTTCATTAATTATCTGTGCAGGGTTTCAAATTGTTTGTCTCTCTGGTTTTAGCATATATCCAGTTTTTGATGTGTGGTTCAGTTGTCAGCAGAGAGAAAAAACAGTAATACTGATACTCAGAATCTTCATTTTCATGTTCAGGATTAACTTCATTGAGGAGGATATTACAATTAAGCTTCTGTTTGGCTTTTGCCAGAACATTGGGAAATTATATTGCCCCACTGAAACCTCATTCGTAGTTTGGAATTTCCCTCTCTAATCACAACCCAAACGTGACTTCAGGTGGAACAGTTACTCTGGATTTTCAGAAGAAAGGAGGCATTTATGCAACTGCATGATCCCTGCACACACCCGCAATCACACTAATGAATATGCCATTTAAAACAAGTTGCAGCAGAAAGTGAGGAATGAAGGCAGCAAAATTGAGCAAAAGGTTAATACGAAACTGTCTTATGGCTGCAAAACAAGGGTACAGCTTTCTACTTATTACTACTACACAGGGTTATGACTACATTTTATGGGGAAGAGAAGAGGATGACCTANTTTTTTTCTGACCATGTGATAAGATCTGCTTGCCAGACAGTTTTGACGTCATTTTAGTGCTTCAAGAGTTTATAGCAATTTTTAAACCCTTCTGCATGTTTCTGTTTTTAGGCTAGTATGATGCAAGGACTCAAGAAATTTTACTTTAAATCCTTCCTGGTTATTCCTCCACCCAAACTGAGAAATTCACACTCTTCCCATCTTACAGTGTAACTTTTTTGGATTTGTTTCTATACTTGTCTTTACCCATTGCATTTTGCCAATTTTGTCATTGATTTCCTGTAAGATACTCCCTTTCTCTCTCTCCCATTTCCAAGTTTATTGTGTCTTCTGTGCAGTACTGCAGTTTATCTTCATTCTATGAGTTAACCTTCAGAATAATTTATATTACATTGGTAATGATGCTAAAGACTTGATAAAGGACGTCAGACAATTTTTAATCCTGCTTTTGAAACCAGTCTTTTCATAACCTGTGCATTTACTAAACCAGAGAGGAAAATTGCTCTTCTGAATTCTGATTTGGGGTATTTTTTCTCTTCTTTTATAATTCTTTATTTTTTCTGTAGAATAGCTACCAGTGTGGAAAAGTACTTTCTGAAGAGATGGTACATACTCCTCTATTTACAGTGGAGGTTTTGGTGACCAGAAATAGTTACCTAATGTATCTCTGGGCAGTGTGGTAGGTAGGCAACCCAGTCATGAGATGCTTGGTGAATGTGTGAATTGTGAGATGGACGATTTTACAGGTTAGGCAAACTTGCCCTGTTATCCTGCTCAGAATTAGCATCCAGTACTCAGTGTTGCTAAAATTAGTGCAGTTATTTATTTATAGCAGTCAGTTCAGCACGTGATTTCATAAATGAAAGCCTGACTTAGTAAATACATCAAGAAGGACAGATAAGCAGGCTCATGGTTACTTCTATGGTACAGTATTAAGGCAGTGAGTTGCACTGATTTAATAAGTGTGCTGTGCTCTGAATTTCCTTCTTGAAGTTTGTCTTGGTTAATGTGCCCTCCCCCCAAGTGCTTTCAATGCATAACCAGCACAAAGTTCTTCCCTGAGCAAAGCTTTATCTGAGTAACTCTTAGCTGTGTTCATTTCTCTTTCTGTTGCCAGTGTTGTTTTACAGATTTGTATGAATAATTAGCTTTGTAGTCCTGACCAATAGTCACTTCCCAGTAAGAAAACAGAATAAAAGAAACCTATATGCATCAAAGATTTGTGTCAAGCAGTCTTTGCATAAGTAGTTCTAAACTTCAGAGTCTATCAACACTTGGCGTTTAAGCAACTTTACCACTTCTTTCTTGGTTGCACTTAAATTTAAAATATTACTTGCTTTTGGCCTGCAATCTTCCAGGACTGGCTGCTGAGCATGGGTGAATATTTTAGCAATTTTTAAGTTGGACATGGAGGCTGGAGTTATATTGTATAAAGAATGTATCCAAATGGTCTTCCTGTTTGTTTGCTTTTAAAGAGTGCTGAAGCTTAAGCACTTGGAGAATTTAATTTGGAACAGTCTTGGTTGAAAGAAATAGTAATAAATGGCAGTTTTGACTTAATGAAGTTTTGAGGTTGCTGTTTTTTCCCAGGGTCAATGCCACAGTGCAAATCCTATCTGCACTGACATTCCACATCTGCAAGCAAAAATATGCATGTGTGGTTTATTTCAGGTTTATGCGTATCAACAGGCTGAAATTATTGGTTTGCACCAGTAGAGCACTTCTGGCCTTAAGGTTTGCATTAATGCAGCTTTACCCATGTTGAAGCTAAGTATGTGTGTCTGGACAAAGGAGGCCTCAGCTGCAAATACATAGAAGATACTTGCTATGGATGTGCACTTCATAGACTCTGCTCAGCTAACTTCATGAGATAATTGCAGTTAAGATACATAATTCTGGGTCAAGCACCCATATCCATTTTTCAGCAAGTTACTTTTCACATTGGGGGATCTGATTTGATATTTTGTGTACTTTAGTTGTTTGGAGTAATTTTGTTCAAGGTGTAGTACTCCTTTGCAACTGAACAGGGAACTTAGAAGTGCAGTGTGACTTTTTATGTTTTTATTGTTGCCACCTAGAGCTTTTTAAAAATACCATTTATGTAAAACACACAGGTAGTTTTTGGTTTTTTATTTTGTATTTTTTAAATACCTAAATATTCTTTTGACACAAAGTGCAGACAGTCTGTCCTTCAGTTTGCATACACGGAGGGAGAGGCAGGGATACTCTTCAGGAAATGGGAGCAGGCTGTAGAGAATTGTAGGAGGCATAAAATACTGCTTTGGTGACTGGAGAGCATTCCAACTTGAACTATTTCCTCTCTGCAGTAGGTTGAAGCATCTGTTGTGCAGAGAACACATGACTGCTGCTGCTGTTTCAAGCAGGCATTGATAAAACACTGTCCAGATGCACCTACACCTAAGTGTAAGCTTTGATGCAACTTTAATTTTGGGGGTTTTTGACTGAGAGACTTCAGCTTGCTTAGTCTTTGTATCAATGCATTTAGTATAAAATCCCACCTTTCTTTAGACAGTAGGAATCACAGTGGTATTTCATGCTACATACCAGAGGAGATACCAAGTGGGCTGAATTTTACTGGACTGGACTTCTGATAAAATTTCACAAGTTCTGTTTTGTAGAGGGACTGTACCAGCAAAATCACATAGAAACCTGTGTATTTAAGGAAAACTGTGTTAAGGGGAATTTCCTCTTTAGATGGTTTGCCTTCACCTTCTCCCATCTCACACTCTGAGATCTGTGGGAAAAATGAGCTCTGTCACTTTACCTTGGGTCATAACTGTTACGATAGGCAGACCCATTTATTCCTGGTTAAGAATTATTCCAAGGTAAACACTGTAATCTTTAGCACAGCTATAGTTTGGTTCCTGCAGACCTTTCTTCTTTTTTTAACCTTTAAACTGAAAATCTTTTGACAACAGTTCTACAAGTATCTGATGTGTTGTGAGGACCATGCAGTGTTTGCAGGGTATGTTTACAAAGAGCTTTTGCAGACTGTTGGTTGAGTACTTTGCTGGTATTTTTTTTGTCTGTGCATTACTCACTAAATGGTAGCTTTAGTTGACTGTAGTTTTGAAACATGATTAATGTTTGAATTTCTTTAACCTTTAAATATGACCAAGTCATCATGTGATTTATTTATGTCAAGTGTTTTTTTTCAGCAGTGGAGTTTTCCATTAACAGGAGGATTGTCATTTGATTTGTTTAGCCATCATTATCTTAGGCTGGAGCATCAGCTTTACCCCAGAGAATGATTTCTATACCGATAGTACAGCTGAAACTTTGCGTAATTACTCTGCAGTGTGTTGCATATTTCCACATTGCACATAGTTTAAAAAACTGATAGCAGTGGGATATTAAAATAACCTCCGCTCACTAGCTCCCCACATGAAAACTTTGCTGCCACCACAATACAAAAATGCAACTTCTCTGCTAAAGCCGGAAGCAATTAGACTTGGCTAGACAATGAGAAAATCTGCAGACTACTAAAAACCATAAACGTGTAAGAATCAGAATGTTTTGTTTTATTGCAGGTTCGGGAGCTGCAGACTCGGCTGCAGAGCGTGCAGGCCACGGGCCCGTCCAGCCCGAGCCGCCTCACTCCTGCCAACCGCCCCGTCAACCCCAGCACGGGAGAGCTCAGCACCAGCAGCAGCAGCAATGACATTCCCATTGCCAAGGTGGGGTTTGTGTGTTTGTAGCCTCTCTCATGACCTGGGAAAAGCAGGCTTCATTTTGTGCTGTGCAAGAGTGCGATTAACTGAGAGATGTTTAGGCTGTCTGGAGCAGATCCGCAAACTTGAACCATGGAAAGGAATTAAACATTATTGATTGTAGTTGTCTCAGTAACAATGCAGGGCTCAGTTGTCTAGTAGTTTACTTCAGCTTTGCAAATGTAACTAGAGAACAGATGGGATTTGTGTGATCTCTTTGGGGTGTGGGCTGCTGTGTAACCTGTGCAGCATTCTGACTTACAGATTGCTGAAAGAGTGAAGTTGTCAAAGACAAGATCAGAGTCTTCATCATCTGATAGACCTGTCTTAGGATCAGAAATCAGCAGCATAGGGGTAAGGACTAAGAACTGTGTGCATGCGTGATCCATGTTCCAATAAAAGCATTGTTTTCTTAATAAAAATTAATATATGAACTATCTGAAAATACTTTAAAAGCTACTTTGAGCAAAATATTTCAACGAAGAATATTTTACCCAGTATTAAGATCTCATTTTCTCATAACTAGTGGCTAGAAATCATGCTTATGAGTGACTTCAAGAGGAATGTTTTGGAGTCAGTTCCACCAAAATATTCTTCAAGAAGACTCTCCAGTTTCATTTCACAACTTTCAAGCAACAGCGAACTGGATTCTGCTATTGAAATGCCAGTGTAAATCAATAACGCTGTTGTTACTGTGTGTTAATATTTGTTTTACTGAACAACTTGGCTCTAACCTTTTGCTAAGCTCTCAAGAACACACATAACTTGTGTAGTAGGCTTTTTAAATATATAATGAAATAGTAGACTTCACTCTTGGTTAGCAGAATTTTAGAACAAAATGGCTTCTAAAATGCAATCTTGTAAATTTTCTATTCAATGTGAAATTCATAACTAAAGCTGAATAATTAATGCATTGAAGTGAGTGCATGCAAGCAAATGCAGTTCTCAATGCAGAAAGTGTCTGGGAGAAATCCAGTGGGTATCTGTTCACAATGATCTGTTAACTGCCTTGTGCAGGTGTCCAGTACCGTGGCTGAACATTTGGCGCATTCCCTTCAAGACTGCTCAAACATCCAGGAAATCTTCCAGACTCTCTATTCACATGGATCTGCTATCTCTGAAAGCAAAATCCGGGAGTTTGAAGTGGAGACAGAGAGATTAAATAGGTGAGCTGGAAAGTTAGATGTGCTCACACATGTTGTCTTACATGAGCTTCATGAAAGTTGACTACTTTTTTTACCCTTTTTGAACACGTCTTAGTTCAGTTCCAGCTCAGCTGTGGTAGCTGCAGATAAACATGGAATGTGATTGCTAAAGAGGAGATAGAATCGTATGCTAAAGATTCTTTCGATGAGTATGAGTTTGTGCATTATTAGATCAGCACAGCACCTTCCCCCGTCTGCACTATGGAGTGTCCCTCTCTGTGGCTGACCAAGTAGTCATGGCATCCTTTTTCATAAGACACATAGCTCCTTGAAATAAGGACTCCTGTAATTTAGTCTGCATCGTTCTGGAATTAGCTTGCTTGGTTTTGTCCTGAAGAAACAGAATAATAGCATTTAACTGTCTCAGTAAATGTACTGATGCATGGTGATGTGGCACCTATACCAGCAAATAGGTTTCTGTCTGCAGAAGAGAGATTGCAGCTTTCTGGTTGCAGTTAAAATACTGCTGGATGTTATCCTTTATCAAGCTCTATCAAAACCTGTGGTTTTTGTCTTTTCTGGCACATAAAATCAAAAATGTAGATCAGTAATGTGAGAAACGTGTCTCAGCATATCTCTAGCCAAATTCTGTCTTCCCCACAGCTAGCTCAAGTTTAGTCTGATCAGTACAATATCTCTTTTTGTTTATAGCTCATGTTTTTGTAGTGCTGGAAAACGTGATTCTTGTTTTCTTTTTTTTTTTTTTTCCTTTTTTTCTGAACACTGCACAATTACGCTTTGACAGCAGGTATCATTATAGAAGATGTCAAGATACAGAAAGTGACAGTTCTAGCATCTAGAAAGTCAGGGCTTTATTCTGGTAACTGAACTTATGGTATACTAGCCCTTCTCGTTCTTCTTTGTCAAGAAGTCAGTGATTTTAGAGTCCTTGATGGCATGGCTTTCTTCATTAATTATCTGTGCAGGGTTTCAAATTGTTTGTCTCTCTGGTTTTAGCATATATCCAGTTTTTGATGTGTGGTTCAGTTGTCAGCAGAGAGAAAAAACAGTAATACTGATACTCAGAATCTTCATTTTCATGTTCAGGATTAACTTCATTGAGGAGGATATTACAATTAAGCTTCTGTTTGGCTTTTGCCAGAACATTGGGAAATTATATTGCCCCACTGAAACCTCATTCGTAGTTTGGAATTTCCCTCTCTAATCACAACCCAAACGTGACTTCAGGTGGAACAGTTACTCTGGATTTTCAGAAGAAAGGAGGCATTTATGCAACTGCATGATCCCTGCACACACCCGCAATCACACTAATGAATATGCCATTTAAAACAAGTTGCAGCAGAAAGTGAGGAATGAAGGCAGCAAAATTGAGCAAAAGGTTAATACGAAACTGTCTTATGCAGTCTTATGGCTGCAAAACAAGGGTACAGCTTTCTACTTATTACTACTACACAGGGTTATGACTACATTTTATGGGGAAGAGAAGAGGATGACCTAAGAGAAATTTCTATCCTCTTAGCTTTTGTTAAGGGATACAGAACTGATGGATTTTGCCATCTTCATTAAAAAATACTTGTGTAGACCAAGAAACCTTTGTTGTTTCAAAGTACGATTGTCCTAGAATTTTCAGGACAGTGACGGCAAGGTAAGCTTGAAGGTTGCTAATGACTTGGATTTTGCAGCCGTATTGAACACTTGAAATCCCAGAACGACTTGCTGACAATAACACTGGAGGAGTGCAAGAGCAACGCAGAGAGGATGAGCATGCTTGTGGGCAAGTACGAGTCCAATGCCACAGCCCTCAGGCTGGCACTGCAGTACAGGTATGTACAGGGGGCTCAGCCAGGAAAAGGGAGCTGGGGGAGACTTAGTAGAAGTGTTTAAGAGTGAAGTTTTTGGTGTGCCATAGTAATACTGTTTATTTTTTGTTTCCTCCCTGAAAAAGCACCCCTTTGGTTAAATTAGCTGACGAACTACCCAACTGAAGTTCATCCTACAGTGTATTACCTCTGTAGTTGACCAGTATCTAACAGCAATGTAGAGGTTTATCTCTTAATTCTCAAATACTGAATTAACATTTGAATTAAAGGTTGTGTGTAGGCTCAAACTGTCTTGCTGAATCCAACCTTAAGATACAGGTTCTCTGTACCTTTTTCTGTACCTTTCCCAAGACTGGTGGACCAGAGAGTGTTATACTCCAAATAACTCAGAATGACTTTGTATTTCTTCAGTTGGAATTGTGGATTAATGGCTTGGTATTTGGTAATAAGTATCTAAATTTGCATCAAACTGTTGCAAAAATACAGTGTCACTTGACTGACACCTTCAACTGCAACTAATTTGGGACAGGCAGCTTTGGTCTTGGAGCAAATCGTGTGCCTTTTAAGGAATGTATTCTTTTGCTATCAGCCTTGAGCAAATTGCAATGAAGTGTAAATTGCTAGTACTATATTAGTATGGATTTTTAAGAACATTAAAATGCCACAGGGATTGTGTGACTCATAAATAGAATTGGAAGCTGTTCTGTTGTAAGGAGGAACATCTTACAACCAGGACAGAGCAAAAAGTATTTTTCTTGCAACTTTTCTGCTTATGACCCTTCGTGCAGTATATATTGTAGAGTATAGAATACTGTATGTTATATAGTAAAAAGATCTGGGCAAAGTGTCTCAAAGGGATCATCTTGACCACTGTTTGTATTGTCACCTGTTTAAAACATGCTTCTGGAGCCTCCTTTATTTCAGGTCACTCTCTTACTTTTGTTTTGTTACATTACTTGGGGCCAGCCTGGCACTGTTATAAGAATGGGGAGACTGCTGAATGCTTTTGATAGAAGCTATGTGTATAATGTTATTTAATATCCCTGCTGCTAGACAAGTAGTAGAAAATCATGCAGTTAATCAGATACCTCCTTTTTGTTGTTGTTGCAGGTATTGTTCTTCTTTAAATTGCAGTTAATATTTTGTATGGTTTTTGTTTTCCCTTTCAGTGAACAGTGCATAGAAGCATATGAGCTGCTGTTGGCATTGGCAGAAAGTGAGCAGAGTCTCATTCTTGGACAATTCAGAGCTGCAGGTGTTGGTTCTGTTGGTAAGATGTCAATGAATCACTTAAGGTTTTTTTGGCATGTCAATTAGCATTAGAATTGGTTGTAATGGTGAATCATCTCATGACCTATTACTTAAGAATGTTCTCCAGTCTTTTCTTGTTTTTCAACTATTTAAATTATTTTGCACACCCTAAAAATAGGGGGAAAATGCAATTTAAATTCAGCTGTGTATGCTATCATGAGGAGATGTCTTTTCTGGCAGGGGTGAGATTGTTGTAGGCATGCAACTGTACAGAGTGGAATAATTAAACAATTCTTGTGAGCACAGGTGGCTTAGGGCCATACAGCTGTGGTAGTTGCAAGTCCAGATTCAGTAAGACTGACTCCCCAGAAACAGTCTGTGAATAACTGGGATTAAAATTATACAAAGGTAGCATTGAGTAGTTACAAATAAAAAAAATCTAAAAGGCTGTATTTTTTCACCCCATTTTACCTTTGCTCTGGAATTTTAAAAGATTCTATCTTCTGTTTAGCCTTTATGTTCTGGATTTTTCTTGTTTCGTGGTTAGTTAATCCTCTGGTTTTTTAATATGCTGCCTGCCAAGTAATGGAACAAGCCACCATCAGAGGTACAGTACAGTTCAGAAATTTGAAGCTTGACATTGCTGCTGGCTCAAATCTTCTGATGGAAAGAGGTGATTACATAATGAAATTCCAGTGTTAGTAGTTTCAGTCCTTTTATTGATAGAAGAAGGCAGTCATAATAATCATCAAGTAGGAAGAAGCATTCAGAAAGAGAATAGCTCTTCATACTGTGCTGAGGCATAGCAAGTGCCTGGTGTGTTAGGAGTGCTGGCTTCTCAGTAGAGGGATGGATGTCTGAGATTTTCCTCCACCTTTCTCCAAATTCTGTTCATTCCTTTCTGCAATGTGCTAGGGAACTTTTCCCAGCTGACAGAGAACAGTGAGTAACAAAAGTAAATTTAGGCTTGGATTTTCTATTCCTGTAGGTGGTAGAAAGAAATCTTATACGGGAGAAATACTTCAGGTTTGAGGAGAGTTTCATCTGATGTGCATTTTATGAAAGAGACTGTAGTTAAATTTTTATGTAGGTGTCTGTCTACAGCTCTTAATTATGATATTATCAGTTACAGCCCTGAGATAGAAATAGTGCAAATTTCCCATTACACAGCACAGTATGGAGGAAGTTGTGTATGGTTTATGTACCTTTACTTCATTATGAAATTTGATTAACAGACCTAGATAAAATAACTGATTTCTGGTTTGAGGATCAGGCCAGCTTTAACATCTCTGGAATGGAAAATCCATGAGAGTTGTATCACTTAAACTCGTCATATCCAGCTTCTCTTAACAGAGCATTTACCCTTCCTTTCTTCCTCGTTAATGTTACTTGTAGTGCATGCACTTCACTCAGCAAGTGTGAAGTACAGGTACTTGACTTGAACAAGGATTAAATGAAAATCCAGCACAGAGCAAGCTGTTGTGTTTTGCTTAAGTATGAATATATTGTAGCTTAATCTCAAAATACATTTGTAGATTTCTGTGCAGCTAATAACATGTCTTAATTTAATGGCTTGACTGCAACTGGAGGACTGTAGGAGTAGTGACAGTGGTGGTTTCAGTTCTGCTTCTCCAGAAGCTTACCAGCCACACAGGTGCTGTATAACCACTAAAAATTATAGCAATGTAATAAACCAGGGCTAGTTTTCTTTTGGCTTAGTATGCATGACTGTAAAATGTGAGAGGCTGCTTCTAAGATGCAGGGCAATTCTTCTCTATGGTCAGGTAGTCTGTAAGAAGGTGTTCTGGCAAACCACCAGGCTTGAGGTCAAGGTGCCTGTGAGGAGAAACTCTGGAGATGACTACACTGTGAAACCACACTGCACCGACTGGAGTAAGAATTGTAATTGAGGTTGAGGCTTTCCCATTGTGTTCATAATTTGAGCATCCAAACCTATGGTTAATGCAGGGTACACACCATTACAAACAGACAAGCTGAAATCCTGCATCACTTAAGCCATGCTGCCTGGAGCCACAAGTACCTGGAGCTTGTGACTGGGAATGGGGTGCATTCAGGCCAGTATCCCAGTTACCACTGATGCTCACAAGGAAATGAAGTTGCTTTTATCTCACAGATTTATTGTCATTGTCTTGGTATAAACTGAGAGCAAGTAGAAGGATCTCTTGCCTTAATTTTTGTGTCTGAAACATTGTTTGCTTGAAAACTAGGGGACCAGACAGGTGATGAAAATGTCACACAGATGCTTAAAAGGGCTCATGACTGCAGGAAGACAGCTGAGAATGCAGCAAAAGCCTTGCTGATGAAGCTGGATGGGAGCTGTGGGGGAGCCTATGCAGTCACAGGCTGTAGCGTGCAGCCCTGGGAAAGCCTGTCCTCCAACAGCCACACCAGGTAACTGCAATTCTTCTGCTCTCCGAGTCTCCTAATCTTTGATTCCGGACAAAAAGTTAATGTTCTATTGTATTGGCTGAGCTACCTCCCCTCACATCAGTCCTTTGGCTTCTATGCTTTGATTTGTAAGTCACCATGCCTCAGTGGTCTGATTGTCTTTGGACTTTGAGCAGCTCCAGCCAAGAAGAGTTTTGTATAAATTTGTTGCAAATGGGTGATTCAGAACTTTGATCTTCTCATAAAGGGCAAAACCTTTACATTTGTTTTACTATAATGACTTTCTTGCTGTTTTATTGGAACTCAAATGATGCACTTGTTACTCATATCTATTGTATGTAGACAGCATGGATGTGTGGAGAGCCAAAGATCTGAATCAGGCCTTCACTGGCATTGTGGAGTGCTCAAGAACTGTTTTCTAAATGTTGCAAATCTAGCCATTCTGTTTTAAACTATTTCCTATCCCTTTTCCTTCTTTACCCTTTGCAGCGCTCCAAATTCTTCTTTCCCATCTTGTTCTTTTCACTGATGGCATGGGATAGATTGGATTCTTCCAGGAAAGACTGGATATTGCAGTTTTTCTGAAGACCTATAAAATAATGAAACATAGATGAGCTATTACTGCAGAAGTGTTCCAGTTCAAATATATCTGCCAGCAGCTTCATTTTGAGTTTTTGCTTGCCTGTGGTGTAATTGTACTCTGCAGTAAATATGTGTGCTTGTGTATGGATACAAATTTGGCAAGTGTCCTGGATAAATATAGATGAACATTTTTCTCTTTAAAAGTTATTTTTGTTTCTCAGATTTGCTCTGAAACTTCATTTTAATTCAGTTTTCTAGCCAGTTCTTTATTCAAATCCTGTCATTTTTTTGACACTTCAGAAGTTTATTTTAGTACTGTATCATTTCCTCTTCTTGCTGATGCCTCCTCCAAAGGATCTTATTTCCTGCCGTATGACTGGCAAGGAATAGCTAAAAAGTGAGCAAAAAGGTAATCTGAGGGAACAGGATCCTAACGTGAAGTGAATTTTAATGTTTTATTCAGCGTTTTCTGGTGCACTCTCAGTGCAAGAAAGCTGTGTCTTTACACAGAAATGATTGTGACAGCATCTGTGCTTCTAGCACACTAATCACACTTTGTACTGAAAGGATTTAAACCAGGCCTGGAAAGAAATGACACGAAGCTGTTTCTTGTTTTAACTTGGCTTGCTGTGTCTTAGGCCATATCTACACCTGTGTGTGAACATGTTGTTGTGTCTACATGTAGTAACACCTCTACCTAAGCTAAGCTTGTTTCTTGAAAGGGTAATTTTCAGATTTTCAGAACTACCTCAGTGTTTTCTTCCTTGTGAGATACGTGGCATGCAGTCAAGGTATAGTATTATTTCTTTTCTTGAAAACAGTATTGACAGAGAAGAACTGGGGGGGAAAGGGATTGCTCCTGTTTCAGTGTTTGCTTTCCTAAGCAGGCACTGAGAAGTATTTGATAGGAATGTAATCTCTACAGCCCTTGCTTGCTTCAGCAGAATTTTTGGGAGGATAAGAGTCTGTATTTGTGTCTGTGTTCATTGGTGGTCAGCTGGACCGGTGTGTGTCTGTGTGTCCATGTAAGGTGTTGGCTCAGTACATACAATTTCAGCAGAGTATGTTTCAAGTGGCATAGGATTTAGACTTTCATCAGGATAGACTATGTCATGAATGTGAAAATGCCAATTTAAAGTTCCTATGTGAAAGATGTTTTAGCCTGAGCCATTATTACCATTGTAATACTTTTTTCTGGTGTGGAGCAACGTATTTTGCTGAATGAGGTAACTTCAACAATTTTTTTAAATGTATGTGGAACATAAGCTGTTGTCACTCACTCAGAGGTCACACAGCAAGTCAGGAATTTGTGACATGGGCACCCTGATCTGATTGTCACTCCCCCATGCTCAAAGTAATTTATCTTTACCTAAGCATACATATCAATGAAAATGTTTTTGAAACTTCAGCTTCTCCAGAAAGTATAAATCTTCTTTTCTTTTGTTGTGTTCAAGTGACATGTGGTTAGAGGTGTTTTCAGATTTTTTTCTTCCTGTGAACCCTGTCTCAAAAGAGAGGAATCCCCTGTTCAGCTTACAGACACATGACATTGTGCCAGCCCATTGATGGAAAACCTGTCTTGGTTTAAAAGGCATACATTTCTCGATGTTTATATCACAGAACCATCAAGTTTTGAGGATACCTTCAAGGTCATCCAGTCCAGCCATCACCCCAACACCACCATAACCATCCCAAAACCTTATCCCCAAATGCCATCAGGGTTGGTGGCTCCACTGACTCTCTGGGCAACTTGCTCCAATGCCTGACCACTCTTGTTATTGAAAATTTTTTTTCTAATATCTAATCTGCACCCCCTCTGGCACAATTTAAGGTCATTTCCTCTCTGGCTGAGTGCTATGTAAACCACCCACACCTTGGGGACCACTATGGAAATATTTTTACAGTATTCAGTTGAAACATACTTTGAATCTTGAAAACTTATTTTTGTTGACTTCGATGTTTCAGTGTTACATGTTTTTAGATAAGTATTGCTACCTTTTCCTTTTGAAACTAAATTAATAAAGTGGTAGTAGGATGATGAAAACTATCCTTTGCTGAGACTTGTGACAAAGGACTAATTCTCTCTGTTGTTTGAAATTCTGTAGAATGTGGATTTACAGTGGAATTGTTGACCCATCTTGGGCTTTGACGTTTCAGATGAGATTCTGAATGTCAAATCACTGAACATGTTACTGAGAGTAAGTGCTTGGTGAGCCATTAGTGATGAGTGGCTGAAGACTATCAAGGGGAGCAACTGAAATGAAAATAAATGAAAGGCAATGAAAGAGCATCCAAATTCATTCGACTGGCAGCAGCACCACAAATATGTTCCCAATTCCGTTTTTGAAAATAGGAATTGGTTTGCAATATAGGTGGAAGTCATGATTATTTTAAATGGACGGAAGCTAAATATAGAATGTACTCTGCCAACAAATTTTGACTGATTGCGCCTTTGGAAGGAAACAAAAGGGAAGAAGCCTGGTTGTAACACTGACTGAAAATAGTGCATTTTATTCCCTGCTGTGCTAGTAAGCCCAACCTTATATCTGGGTTCATGGGAGGACAGATCTGGTCCCTTATATGCAAAGGCAATTTTTTTCAGTATTATGCAGTGTCACAAAATATCTGAACTCAGTCAACAGTAGGAATATATCTCTCGTCAGAATCATCTCAGGTTTCAGATAAGTTGGTGACAGACAAGATTATCTTGGCTGAGGCATGTAAGTAAGTTGTTTGGAAATGTCCAAATAGATATCTCAGTGTTATCTGTGTAGCACTTTGTTGCTGGACTGAAGCAGTCTCAGAAGGAAGCAGGGCAGTTTACCAAAGGCTGTGATTTTAGCTGTTGTTTGGCCTTTGCCTGGTTGGGGTATTTTTCAGTTTCTCTGGAAGTTACTACCTTCTGGCATTGTGCTGTACAGATCTCAAAACAGAATGTTCAGCTAGAAAGAAGGTGTTTGGCCTATGTTTATTATGGATTAGCTGCATTCTTTAAAGCATGAGGTTGTGTGCAGTTATTCAGGCAAGTTTGTGGATTCAGTTCTGACAGCGCTAATCTCAGTTCTACCAACTGTATTATCCAGACCATTGCTTAATTGCAAATATATTAATTTATTGACTTGAATTTTAACAGATAAAATGATGGTCATGTAGGGTTTTATGGATAAATGTTTGTAGTGTGCTGAGACTACTCACAGAGAAGTAGTGCTGAAAGCCTCTTTTATGTCCATCCACCGCATTTTATATACACACACTCATGCCAGCAAATAAGACTGACATTATGCTGTACCAGTCCGTATATTTTCTACAAATTGTATGTGAAAATTATTTTGACGTCACCCAGGCATGACATCATCATAAAAGACTTGAGGAATGAAGCTAGTGAGAAGACTATTTCTCTTTTCTTCTTCTGATACAGCATCCGTGAGAATGGGCAGATTGATGTTGTATTCCCTCCAGCTGTGATGAAACTGTGATCCTTTCTCTCTCCTTACCTAAACACTTGAGAAATGAGAAACTGCACATCTTTTGCAACAGTTTCCTGTGGTTTTTGGATGGATGCATTATACTGTAAATGTTTTCCTTTGTCCTGATTGCTGTTCAGAAGGGAGGGCAATATCAGAAATTCAGGATGAAGTGCTCACCAGCTGTCATGCCTTGAAGAGAGCAGTAGTGAACCAGCACTGTGGCTGTGAGAGCTGTTTGGTGAGGTTCTTGGGGCAATGCACCCTGGCAGAGTTGCTGGGGAGATCAGAAACACTGCAGTGCTGTTTCTATCCCTTCTACCCCAGCTGCTTCCAGTCTGCTGGGTGTGGATGTGCTTCTAAATGCAGGGGTAGGGTGAAGGTTCTTGTCCTCTTCTGTGCTGGCTGAGACACAAGTTCCTTGCTGAGCTCCCTCTAACTTCGTTTAAAAAAAAAAAAAAAAAAAAAAGCAAACTAGAAGAAGAAGAAGCAGCTTGATAGCAATTCACCAGAGGAGCCAACTCAGCTGCAGACAGGCAGGCAGCCAAGACTGAAGTAAAACAGCCTGAGTATCATTGGCAGCAGCCCAGACTGCCTTCCTCAGTTTGGACTGCACTCCCCTAACATATATGTGCGTAGCTGTGCATCTTCAAGGGCCAAAATCTGTGAATATGCATGGAGTATGATGTCCAGCTCAACAGAACAATAAACTTTTAGCATTTTTTGTTCAGGTTTCATTTGCAGCAGGAGGGCTGGGTTTTCTTTCCTTTTCAAGCAAAAACTGAGATGAGGTCTCTGTGCCCCAAGATTTGAAGTTTTTTTAAAACTATCCTTCCTCCAACAACAGCTGTTTTACATTTAATCCAGAAAAGTTCTACAAATGCAGTCTTTGGGTGCTGAGGAAGAAACTTACAACATGACTTCAGTACAGAATTAATTTTCACATTGTTTATCCTCATTATTTTTATATAAATGTCTAATTCAGCAAGATGCCTTTAGGCTCAGTGAAGTAGGATTTAGTGTTTCACGATTTTCTAATCAATAAACAGTATGAGAATAAAAATTTGTTTCAGCCTGAGAGGGTTTCTAGGTATATAGGTACTGAGTGCTCTTAAGCTCCACTGCAGAAGGAAATGGATGAAAACAAAAGCAAAGACAAATTTACAGTTGTATCGACTACGGCAGGCACCTCTTAACCCTTGGAAAGGAGGGAATAATGTGAAATTAACATAGAACTGTAGTAAAGAACCGATATTTCATGATTTTAAGAAATCTTCGTAGACCTGCCAGTTCTGTATCTTCTCAAAGTCTGTGCTTGGAATTTGTGGGAAGAAGGGCAATTATTTGAAGCACTTTAAAATCAATGTAGCTTTAGCTGAAGTAGAACCAAAGGAAGGAGAAAAATCAAGCCTATCTTGATAGACTTCTCCTTTGTGCATGCATAATATTTTTGGACATCATCCTGGCTCTCACAGCATCTAGCGGGTGGGATTTTTTTTCTTAGTACAAAAATGTTGAACAGCAGTGCAATTTGATACAGAAAGTGATTTATTCCCCTGCTGATAACTGAGATCATCTAGCATTCCAGACAGGCACAGTTAATGGATGACTTACCCCTCACCCGGCAGCTGATTACAGGACCTCAGGAGACAGCAGGCAGCTTTGAGTGAGTCTACAGAAACAACATGGCATTTTATTTTCCTTTTAGTGTTATTGCAACTATATTCAGTCCTGGAATGCTGTAGCTGTGTCATTCTGGGCCCCCTGCAGCACTGGCATGCATGGAGGTGGGTAGGCAGGTTCAGCCACCATTGCTCTAATTATTTGTTACCCCTTTCTGCCATTTCTGTGTAAACACTCGTAGGGCAGAGTAATGGGCCTTCGTTTGTTCAGAGGATACACCAAGTCTTCTACAATTACTTTTTATTAGAAGTCCTGCTACTCTATTGGTTAGTTTTAAATCACTCTATCCCAGAAGGAATGCTGAGGAGTACACCTTCACATAAAGTGAAAATTTTCCTAGCATCTGCCAGTGGAATTTTGATCAGGTTGATTCCTAGAAGTATCCATTAAAAAATATCTGAGGTAATAACTGTATTGTCATCAGCAGAGATAGATCAAGTCTGGGTTCATTCTTTTTTCTTAGCAGATGCTTCTTCTTGAAGATAAAGACTCGTGTCTGAGCAGCTTGCTGTGCTATGTTATTGCTAAAAAGTCTAAAGTACCTTTTTTTTCCCCTTTTTGAAGAAAAAAAACCCTCTTTTTTTCAGAAGAATACCACTTCAGATAAAGTAATTCAGTTAGACATCACTAAATATCTGGCTTTGCAGAGAAGTTGTCACATGATTTCATTTTCTCGTGCAGCTTAGAGAATTAATTTCTGTTCTAAATTTGTCACACCTCGCATTGCAATGTCCAGTCCATGCTACATCTGTGTCCTTTCTATGAACTTTTAAGACTCAGATGCGTTGATGAAGTATTGGGAGTATGATGTAAAAATCAAGATTTTGTTTCAAATGTATTTTTTTCTAATACCATTGTTTCTCTTTCCAGTACTACCAGCTCAACCGCAAGCAGTTGTGACACAGAGTTTACAAAGGAGGATGAGCAACGGCTGAAGGATTACATCCAGCAGCTGAAAAACGACAGGGCAGCAGTGAAACTGACAATGCTGGAGCTGGAAAGCATCCACATTGATCCCCTTAGTTATGATGTTAAGCCACGTGGAGACAGCCAGAGGCTGGACCTGGAAAATGCAGTCTTGATGCAGGAACTCATGGCAATGAAGGTATTTTATTCATAACCAGGAGGGGAGCTACTCTGTTGGAAATGCCCCTGTGTCACAAAACTTGCTCAGTCATACATATGGGAGGCTTTGATCGTGGTCACTGGATAATATAGGGTAACTTTCTTGTAACATATAATCTGGACTGAAAATCCAGTAGTCAGAAAGTGACAGAAGACAGTGCATTAACAGTGATGAGCTATGTGTGTTCTGAATTAGGAGAATCTAATCTGTGTCTCTAAACTTGGAATGCTCTTCTCGACAAACCAGATGCTCTCTCGCTGAGAGATATGGCAGCTGAATTGCTCAAGGACGACCAAAAACCATGATTCAGCACTTCCCAAGAGACAGTTCATTACTTAGGAGCTTACAAATGTGCATCATGAATATTTGTGAATTGAATCAGAACAAATTCAGCTGCTTTTAATACTGGTGTGGGAGGAGGAATGATCTGTCAGATGTCATCCCTAACACTCTCTGGCAGTTGGTCACAACTCCTGAGCTGTTCTAGGCACTGTGTTGCACTCTGTAGCTCAGTGCAGAGTCTGAGCAAAAGAGTAGGGTATGTAATGACTTGCATTAACAGAGGGTTTTGGAGAAAACCCTGGTTTATATGTTCAGCTGTAAAGATGTGATCTAGGAAAGCTGATCTTTACCAGCCAGGTGTACAGCTTACATAATTTTAAGTCTGTGTTCTGTATTGCTTTTGAGAGGTGAACTAAAACATAGGAACATACCAAAGGCAATACAAGTGTATGTCTGCATTCCGAATTCGTCTGGTTTTAGTTCACTTTAGGTAGGTTTAATTTCTGTATTTTAGCAAGTGCTGATTTAGCCAACTAATTGCAGACATGTTAAGTGATGGTATTGAGTGGGACAGCAAATCCTAATCGTTTCATAAGCTTATAAAGTTATAGATCTTTCTTCAGATGTGCTGCTTCTGGCTAAGTGGTAGCCTAGTGATAATTTTGTTCTTAGTGGTGCTGCTTTTCCATGACAACAGATACTGTTTTGCAATAATGCAGTCATTATTCACAGTTCAGAAAAGATTGCTTGTTAGTGGTTGGGAGATGTAAAATTATGTTACTTGTTTGAATACATACATTGTGGCCAACAGCAGTATATTCTCCACAACTAAAGCATGCAAGATGTACTGTAAGATGATGGTAGATAATTACATGTGTATTTCAGATAGCACACTTTCTCCTTTTTTGCATCCAGATCTTCCCTGAAATCTCTTGTATGCCATTCTTACCTCTGTTTTTAAATTTTAACTTCTTTTAATTTATTTTCCTAATATTAATTTAATGTAAAGGTAAGGGCAAACTGCAGAGCTGTATCCCTTGTGAGTAGTGCCCTTGCCTTCCCTGACTGTCAGGAGCACCAGCAGTTGCATATCATAATTTCTGGTACACTTTTGAGTGCTGATAATCCTTTTGGTCACACAACAATCATCTAACTTGTTTATGGCACACAGCATCCATTTGGCTGGACCTGGCACACTGGGTTTTCACTGCAGGAATTGCCTCTAGAAGAATATTTTCTTATTGATTGGGCTGTGTGTAGTGCATACAGAGTAGACACACATCTTGCATAGGTGTCTGAAGTTACCAGCAGTCCTTTGTAGTTCAGAGAAACTGACAGTGCTGTTATTCATTGTAATTTCTTGTACTTTGCTGGAATTCACTACTGTGGGAAAACCTTACACTTGTGAAATAGACATTGTGAAAACTCAGATTTGTCAAGTGTGTTACCTATCAGCTTCCATGGTTGTTGCTGAGGTCTGCATTACGCTTCCTCATCTGTTTGTCAAGCTAGAATAGAGTTGAACCTAAGGTCAGGACTCATTTTGCCTGAGTATATTTTTTGTATCAATTATTTGAAACATGTATCTTACACAGAACAGCACATGCATCTGCTTCTTTTTGAGACAAATGGGGAATTTGGATTTCCTTACACAATTTTATTTAACTTGAAGCAGATGGATTACAGAAGACTTCATTGTTTAGCATTTTTAATTTGTTCTCTCTCTCCTATATTCTTAGCAAGGGTGATAAAGCTGGACCAAGCTACTCAATGATTTCCTGCATTGCTGGGTCTTACAGTCTCTTACTGTATTCCCAAAACTTTGTTCTGTGTTGTAATCTCTGCCGCATCTTTTGGCACCTTCCATTTCTGATTTCCAGTAAAAACCGATCATCTCCTCAGTTTGAAATACCTTTACAATGGTAGTTCTTCATTATTAATTAGAAAGACATTTGAGGGTTGTTTCTCTGCTGCCCTGTTTATTATTTTTTTTTACTGATCCAGGGCGTAAGATGCAGTTGTGTGAGGTCGTTGCTCGAAGACAAACAAAGGAACTTCAAAGATCATGAGATAAAACCGCATGTTTTATTGTTCCAGACCCTTCTTAAATAGAAGCTGGAATTCCTCGGCTCATGGCAGCTGATCAGTTGGGAGTTTGGACTGCCCAGCTCTCTGACCAGGGAGGTGTCTGCAGCTTAGGATGGAACGTCATTGAAATCTCTGTTTAGGCTTGAATGTATCCTATCATTGTTCACCTGGGGGCCTGTTGATGAGACCAGGCTAGCTGAACTGGGTTTCTTATTTATGGCCAAATTATTTGCCCAGCTAGAGACCTGCTGTGCTGTGACAGTTGTCTGCCAAGTACGCCTGTAAAATTCAATTCTTTGCTTCAAGCAATAATTAACCATGTTTCCAAATACATTTTCGTCAGTGATTTGTCATCATTCAGTGGTCTTGCTTTGAGGTCAGTTGTTGTCATGCCCCAGTTAGCACGGAGATTACTTCTGGTGGGTGTAAATAACTCTTGGTTTACAGCCTTTCTGCATTTCAAAAGGACTTAATCTTAGATAAGAAGTCTCAGCTTTCTACACCGATAATTTTTCCTCTTTTGTGTACAGGTGTTGATAATGTTAATCATGATGTGCTCTGGATGGAAAATGTTAAGAGTTCCATTGTCCACCTTTGCTACAGCCATTCATGCTCTTACAGATTTGTATAGTGAAATACAGTTAACTAGAGAGTGACATTTATCTGCTCTGATATTTGTTTTAATTCTGAAGGCTGGTACATCCCACCTTGTTTACTGTAGTTCTCCTGGAGTCATGACTTTTTGTGACTTTAAAAACTTTTTGCAATGTTAAGGGTCCTACATGACCAAGTCAAATACAAATTTTGATTTCGAGAATTCGATGGTGTTTCTGATTATTTTGAATCAGTTTTTAATTTTCATTAAAGTTTTTGCCCAAAATCAGTATTACAGTATGGCTTCAAGTACAAAATATCCCTCAATATTCAATTAATGAGTCCCAAAATAACTGCTGGATTTAATACCTGCAGCTTGTAAATTTGCATGGATTGTCTAAGTCTTCTGCAGTCCCCTAGAAGAGGGACACTTGCTACCTCCTCGTTCAGGGCTTCATTTAGTGAATGCCACTTGTGCACACACTCTGAAGATTCAGGTGTGTTGAACTGCAAAAATGCTTCACAGCAACCAGAAGCTGGAAGAAAAGGGAAACAGTAAATATATAAAGGTGACACTATCATTTCAATTAAATTTAGATGCAGTCTTTAGAAAACATATTTTCATGGAAAAAATTGCCGCATATTGACTCTGAGTAAACCTGAACTGCTTGAATTTTCCCAAAATGCTGCTGCCATTCTGCCTCACACATTGCATGGGTTCATACCAGAATCCTCAACTGCAGTTTGAATTTTTAACCATGTTCAGCCTTCCCATTCCCTCCTTTTCCTTCTCTGTGAGCCCCTGTAAGACATTGGCTGACACAAGCTTCTTAACTTTTCCCTTGCCAGTTACATTGTTTTGACATGAGAAAAGTAACATATGGGAGGTGCATGATACGTCTTCTGGGACAGGATACGAACTGCTGAATGCATATATGATGATCTAAGCTTATTGTCTTCATAAACAAAGGAGTTGAATATTGATCTTCAAATTTATTTTGAACTTGGATATATTAAAATAAGTTAAAATTTTGAAAAAAACAAGTTAATATCTTTGCATGATGAGAAAAAACTGTTACACAGATTGACTGTTGTAGTGGATAAATTCACCTTTTTCTTTTAGGAAATAAATGTCTCTTATTTCTGGGCTGAATTTTTGCCTAGCTTCATCTTCTAGGCAATAAAGATCTTGTCATGACCATCCCACACAGACAGCCAAAAGTATCTTTTATTCATGTAAGTGTCAAAATACTCTGTTCAAATCACTTCTCAACCTTCACTAAGAAGGCTAAGTAGATTAATGGCTTTAAAAGTAGAGGCTTAAAAAGTTAAATTCATATACTTGAGTATATCAGACCATCCAGTTCAACTCCTTTAACAGAATTTCCCCATCATTATTTATCAGTATTATTTACATTTTTTACTGTTGACAAAGGCAATTAATGGTAAGTTTGCCTAACAACTAAATTTGTGTAAACCACATTGAATGAAACTGGTGGTTCTAACCTTCAGTTCACAAACAAGCTGATGAATAAATCAGTGACCTTAAAGCTCCTACAAACCTTTCCAAGCCCCTCAGGGTTTTCAAGATACGGATTTTATTTTTGCATGGTTGGTGATTCTGAATAAGACAGTGATTACCTGTGATGATTATAACTGTGATACACCTGTGTGCACTGCTTAGACTTAATCCAGACAGCAGATTTTTGATGGGAATAATGATTCCCTTCAACATAAAAAGTTCATCTAAATATGTGTAGAGGTTTATTTCTGTATAACCTTTGTTAATAATGGCTATAATATAAACAGCATTATTTTTGAATAGTAAGGCTAAATACTTCTGTTATTTTTGTGATTAGAGGGTTTTTTTTAATAAATAGTGACTTGTTCCTAGGCTGGCCACACAACAAGAAACTTCTGTCTTTCAGAGGTGGTTACACAGTGAACAAGTCCAGAACAGAAATGTAATACAGAAAATGTTTGCATCAAGTTAGTATTCACTCATTAAGTGATCTCAGGCAAGGCAAGCTAAACAGTGAAAACAAGATTCTAGGTTGGGGTTTTTTTGGGTTTTGGGGTTTTCTTGTTTGTTTGTTAGTTTTCTTGTGTGGTTTTTTTTGTTTTGTTTTGTTTTTTGTTTTGTTTTGGCAGTCTTTTATTTGTTTAGTGGTGATTTTAAGCACATAATGTGAATTATGTATTACTACTATCTCTTTAACGGTTTTGTGGATATTGGGTTTTTCTGGGTATATAAAGTAGCTAGGCATTTTGTAGAAGAAAGATTTCTGAAGTGTTGTTAATCACAAAGAGCCTTCTGGTTCAGGACTAACCCATCATTTGCTTTTCACGAGAGTCTTGGAGCATGTACTGAAAGAAGGGTCATCGTGCTCATGCCCTGCTCTGAAACTTCTGCCCAGCACTGTCAGATAGATGTTAAACATCAGAGCAGCAGAAGAATTGCACATAAGGAGCTCTCAGAACTGAGCTTCTTTCTATCAAGTACCAGTGTCTGTCTTCTGTGGACTGTACTTAGGGACGAATATAAGTGAGTGCATTTTTCTGTCAAACTCAAGTTGTGTATACTTGGGATTCTGGCCACTGAGAGGTGGGAAATTACTGATGGACATCTGATGGTGCCATACTCGGTAGCTCTTTTTGACATAACTCATTCTACCACAGAGGCTGGTATTACAAGGCAGGAATATGTAACCTGTGTGTGCTGTCCTGGTCTCTCAAATCCCTTCCACTGTCATGAGGCTAATAATTTCATATCAATAAGAAACTGAAATCTTGCTTTCAGGGAGATGTTTCACAATGTCATACACTTCTGCTTTTAAGACAATGGTCTCTGAAGGACAAAGTAGAACCAGAGAAATTGCAGCAGCTGTAGCAATTCTCTCAGATCCCTGATAGTCTAATTCTAATTTTGCTTCTGAGCTTACTCCCAAAGATGATAAAGGGGTGGCACAGTTCATCATATTCAGACTGAAGATATACAGGTCTTTTGACAAATACGCAGTGTGATTATAAAAAGTCATCTGAATGCTGATAGTTTTCTCAGTGAAAAGAATACTTAGGTTGTAAGAGCAGAGGAAAATCTTGTTTAACCTCATCTTCCTTTAGGTGCCTAGTCCCATAAAGTAATATGTGGTAATACAATGTTTCTTCAACAGGAAGAGATGGCAGAGCTCAAGGCACAGCTTTACCTACTGGAGAAGGAGAAGAAGGCTTTGGAATTAAAGCTGAGCACTCGAGAGGCCCAGGAGCAGGCCTACCTCGTCCATATTGAGCACTTGAAGTCTGAAGTGGAAGAACAAAAAGAGCAGAGAATAAGGTCTCTCAGCTCAACCAGCAGTGGAAGCAAAGACAAGCTGGGCAAGGTCAGGAGTCAAGCGTTTCCGAAGTTGTAAACATCGTTAATTAAACTCCTCCCAGCCCTTTTGCAGTCTTTAACATGTTAATCATTCTCCTCTTTTGTCTGTATGCAGATCTTTTTTCTCTCTTCCCCAGTTGTTAGGTGGCTCCTTCCATGGTGTAACCTGAGGACTTGGCAGGATTGGTGTTAAGCATGGGCTAAAATAAGGGTGTTTTGAGGAGTACCACAAGGCCAGTCTTGCCAGATATACAAGTCGAGCATGTGTTTTGCGTGTTGCCACTCACTGGTAACACTAGAAGGGAGTCTAAGCAAAATACCATTCTCCCATAAACACAAAATGTGCAAACATTAGCACTCATTTCTATGCAGCATTTAGAGCATTGTAATGACAATCTCTTTCTTCAAGTCAGATTGTAATAATTTGAGAATGAAGACTCTTCTCCCCTTAATGCAAAATAAACAGATTTCTGTATTTGCAGTAATAATTTGGGTTAAGAAATAGATACCTTGGAAAAATTTGTTTTGTCTTTTTCAGTGCTGTGTCCCCAGAAAATGTCAATAGTGTGTTCAAAAACAAAAACCAAGTGATATGTCTTACTTGCTTGTTCCTGGCAATGCTTCATCTCAATGTCTTGATCCCAGTGCTTCTTTGTTTCATGTGGTGTCAAAAGAAATATAAGGAAGGCAGTGGCAGTTTTGCACACAGTAGCAGAATTCTGCAAGTCAGTGAGCTGTGGCAGTTTAAAAAACATTTAGAAACACTTGTGACTGTTGATCTATTTAGTCCATTCCTTGGTATGCTGATACTGCCGTGTTACTGTAGCATGATGTTGTTTATGTCACCTTCATTTTAAAAGTAGCTGCGAACTAAGAGGCTTTCAGAATTTTCCCATTAAGATGGTCAATAATTTCTAATCAGGTGGCTTTTCCTCCTTCCTCAGGAATGCAGTGATGGGACTGCAACACCGCTAACACTCGCTGAGCTGAGACCATACAATGAAAGTGAACTGACTGCTGAGCTGACAAATGCACTCAGGAGGTAAGCACAGCTTCCCTCACCAGAGGCAGGACTTGTCCTGTAGGTCCAGGGAAAGGTTTATTTCTGAGCCTTCACTCCAACCCTGAAGTGATTTGAAGACTGATCACAGATTTCTCCCGTGAGAAGAAAAACAATCAAAGTCCTTCTAATTGCCCCTCTCTCCTGCTGTTGTTCTTTAGCTGCTTTCACGTGGTGCTCAACTCCATTTTCAAGGTTCTCTAAAATTCAGTGGAATTTTAGAAATAAAAGAAACACTCAAAATGGCAGCAATGACCACATTCAGGCAAGAATATGAGACATAAAACAGTGACATTACACATTTCTTGTTGTGCTTAAAGAAAACCTTTAGTGAAGACAGGCTTTCAAGTGTGGTCTTTGGTTAAGAAGGTTGGCCACAGGTTAGAGCTTGGATAGGAGTTATGGGAGTGGGAATTGCAGGCATTTTGATGACTCAGATGCTCCATTTGCTTCCTGAGTATATAAGTGGAGCCACAGTTCAATTACAAATGACATTCTGTGAGGCATTAGCTTTCCAATGGGAGAGAAAATTGATGTCTTGACAAATGGCTTTTATCAACAGCCAGATTTTAAGCCTAAGCTTTCAGTACAGTTATACATTAGCTAGATATTTGTTTATGCAGCATTTTTTCCTGCACCAGCTATGTGGTATAGTCATGACAAAGAAATTCATAGTTTTGATAATGGTTTCAGTTTTTGTTCCACCTTGTTCTGCCTTTTCCAAGCTGTCTGGTATCTAATCTGGTTCTTATATTTAGAACCTGTCCAAAATGCTGCTAAGAATTCTGGCTGGGAAGAGTGTTTTGCTTTACTGGTGTTTGCACCTTCTCTGGTGGTGGAATGTCTTTTCAGGCGGCTGTGGTGTTTCATTCCTGAGGTGCTTTTTTTTCATAGGTGTAACGTGTTGTGTACCTAGGGACACTTAAACTTGAAAGACATTATGTAAAAATGTGAGATCATTGCCACTGCAGAATCAATACATCTCATACCATTTACCTAGTAGTCTGGCAGTTGTTGAGTACTTAGTTTGCACGAGGCAGGAAACAAAATTCAATGGGTAAAATAATCAAAACTGTGATTTGTGTGTGGGTGGGTAAAACCCATTATCAAGTAATTTACATAAGCATTGCAAAGAGCTGTTGGTCTTCCCTGTATCCCCAACACTGCAGCCCTGGTGTGAGCTGCTCCACCAGCATTTTCTCCCTTCACTCAAACTCCTGCTTCTTCCTGCTCTTGTTATTTGCTCCTGGATTTCAAGAAGATGCCAATGACCTTAGTTAGTAGAGATTTTGAGTGTAGTCATGAAATGTTTTTTGTTGTCAGCATGTGGTTTGCTGACAACACAGAGAAAACAACTTTGCTTTATCTACTAGGCCTAAGTTGATTAGCATGGATTTCCAGCCAAGGGCCTCGCAAGTACAGTTTGTCAGGCAGAAATGGAGAAAAAAAATAATCAGATTAAACTGTACATAAATTGTGAAGGCTCTCTGTGTAATGGAAATACGACTGCACTAAATGTGATTGCTGCTGCTAGTGGGCTCAAGCACAGTTCCTGCAAGTTATGTGGACAGGGTATTTTTCTCCTTAATCAATGTGGCAGCCAGATCAGGCTGAAAGCTTAGCCCTCCTTGCCCTAAAGTCTTGCCTCTGCAAGTCAGTTGAAGATCTGTCTAGCACATGGAGAAGGCTTAGTGCAACCTGTTTAGCCTAAAAAATACCGGGAGTCTCTAACTTCTCTTCTGGATAAATACCACAGTGATATTTAGACCATCACAAATCCACAAAAGAATTCTAAAACTGATCAAAGTCCTTTCTCTTCTGCGAGTGCATTCTCCTCACCCGCCCAAGAGCTAGGACCAGAATACAAAATTAGAAGGATTTGTCCCAGTAGCTGTGTTTGCTGAGGGGTGGTGGGACATGTGAAACAAGTGCATATCACACTCTGTGGTCCAGAGACAGTATTTAAATGCCAATGTTCAGGAGTGTTTCGGGGCTGGTTACAGTTGGTGCCTATGTCCCGCAATTGGTCCTCCCTATTGTTTCTCCAGGCAGTAGACACAGCTGCAAGGATAGGGGCAGAAATCCATTCGATTCTGAGTCTGTTTGTCAGAGCGTGTGATATCAATCAGCAGTCTGCTTCCTGTCCCCTCCTCATCCTGTCATTACAGATACTAAAACTCTGGCTGTTCCCCCCTCTGCTATTTTCTCATTCTGTCCTTCTGTTGCTGTTAAATTGCCAGGTTCTTCTCAGTTAATTGAAACAGAGTGAAAACCAAATAAAACAGCAGGACATAGTTACGGTTTGGGTTTTGGTGTAGTTTGGAAGCATTTATTTACTCATAGTCTGCAAATAGCCATGCAGCAGAACAATCTCATCCAAAGAATCAGGCTGGCTTCTCTTTGCACATGTGGATATTTTTCTAAATCTGGAATCCTGCAGCGTATTGGGAAGCTTTTTTTGGTAGTGCCCATCAGCAGAAATTCAAGGCAGAAGCAGTGTCCTAACATATTTGTTCTAGAACAGCCTAGGATTTCCTGTAGAAGTGTTCAGCATTAAAACCCTGTTACCAGCTTTTTACAGAATTCACTTGTCTTTTACATGGTCGCTATGCTAACTGGGAGAAATGTGAATTATCTTTAAGTCCTGTGCTGTTAAAGTTATATCTAGGTTAACTAATTTCTGGTATTGTAGGCTAAGCTCATTAATTCAGACACATCCTGTTCCAGCCAAGTGTAAACACTTTCTGCCAGAGCCTTTAATAGTTTTGTTTTCCCCTCTCTCTTCTCCTTATGGAATGATGAAGTGCTTTAATGGACACAAAGCCTCTTCTTTCTTGAGTCTGACACATCCATAACCAAGCTTCTTGGCAGGAAATACCTTATTCTTGTGAGGGCAGAAATGTGTTCTCAGCAGCCTTGTGGCCTGGTGCTGACACCTTGATGATTATGCCAGAGGCCAGTTTTATAAGACAAGATCTGGTTGAATACCCCAAAATCAGACACATGATGCAGTCTCTGAGGGAAGACCTTAAATGCGTTTTCTTCCTTGCTGGTTTGTTCTTCTTTGCTGGGGCAGGGCAGGAAGCACTGTACATGACTTGCATGAGTTTGTAACTCAGTAGTTACAACTCATACCAGGTTATGCATTTATGCAGGTAAACGCATTACAGGTGGCAGGAGGGAGGCAGCAAGAATTCCATCCTGCTTTAGAAGGCTGAAGATAATGATCATATACCTGATCTTTTATTTTACTGAGTTCTTCCATTCTGTGAAAAATGGCCAGGCTGGCAAGACTGAAACTTCTTCCTCTCCCTAGGCTTTGCTACAAATGCTTTGATCGTTGAGGTCCTCCTGTGGTCTCTGCTTGTATTTCCAGCTGGTGATAGCTTTTCTGTCTACGCAGGGTTGTACGTAAATTCATATATTTAGAGAATCTTTTGTATATCATTAAAATGCTTGGAGGATCTAGCAGTACTAGGCAAGGACCAGGGCGGCAAAGCACTTTGTAACTAGGCTGACTGTTCAGATTTCAGCTGCATCATCATTTGGCACAAAATTATGATCCTTGATGGCTTTGCAGTGTTACATGAATCATGTCGGTCTAGACATGTTTCAGTATCTCCCTCATAAAAGAGTTACTTTCCATCTGGCAACACAACAAAGAAGCTTTACCTGATAAGGTAATATAAAGAAGTTTAGAAGCTGATAACTTCTAAACTAAGAGATAATGTAGTGAGTGATGCAACTAATTTTGAAGTTGGCGTGGAGAGAGGAAATGAGTAGTAATCAGTAGGACTGACAAAAAACCTCTTCTTCTGTTAACAAAAAGTACGTTTTGCACTTTCGTAGATCTGTGGTCCCACGTCTCTGGAGTGGAAGCTGCAGGTATTTCTAGCAGGACATAAAAAAATGCATCCTATTGCCTATTCTGTCTATTGAGACAGAGCAATATTTGTTCCACTCTTATGTCCTTATTCCTGTCTGAGGACCACAGCTATGTTTTGTGCCAAACTTCAGAGAGAAAACATTTCAGTAGAAAGCTGGGCAGTGACTATTTCCTGACACAATATTAGTGAGAGAGAAATCAAGCCACCTTTTTTAATTTTAGATTTCCATAAACTTAATGTGATGGCATTTTAACCTTACATATTTTCAAGGGCCGACCTTAGTTTCATGAGAGCAGGAGTCAATAAATTTCATAATTGAAATTCAGGCCTGCACTGAGCATCAGTAAGGCTGTCTCAGAAATAGAAATAGAAATGCCTAAAACACATCATGCTGTAACCATTCAGATTTAAAATTACTCTTTAGACTTTTACTGATTCATAAAAGCCCCTTTTTCTTTGACTAAGGGAAAAAGCGAACATGCAGTGGGTAAAAGTAGGGGAAGAGAGGCAGGGGTTTGTGTTCTGGACCTACTGATGCAGTCTCAGCTGCTTTCTGTCAGTGTTTGCTTATTTCTCTTCTCCAATTATCACATCAATTAAATGAGGAGATAAGCAACTCTGAGGCATTTGAAAGCCAGACACTGGTATGGCTTGCAGTCATCACAGATTTCAGAGACATCTCTTTTTTGTTACTGTGCAGTATCCTGCTGTGGTTTCCCCTTGGCTGCCAAGGCGGGGTTCAGAAGGTATGGCCTTTTCTCTGGAAATCCCTCTGGAGAGTCTCACCGAGAGAAACCTTCTCACAAGAAGAGAAGTGATTCATGGTGATATCAGGGACAGATTCCTTAGAAGCACCTTGAGTAACTGTTTTTACCATGTGCCTCACAGACAACCATGATTTGTCTTTTTCTCCATTTTTGACGTGGAGTAACTAGTTCTTACCACCATGTGGTTATCTAAACTGCTGAGCTGCTGTGCACTATCACAGGGAGCTCCAAATAGCACCAGGTCTGGAGAGCTTCCAGGCTGAGCTGGCAAAGCTGGGTGGGAGGTTTGAGCAGTAGTGTGGCAGGCATGCTGCTGCCTCCCTCCAGGGCTGTTCTCCCTTTTGCTGCCAGGATATTGTTTCCAGGACCACACCTGGCCTGTCTCCCCACTGCAGGTGGTTTAACACATGCCTATGGTACTGTCTGGTTTTTGAAATCTCTTCTGAGCATCTGGGCAATCAGCAAAAAAAGCAGTACAGTGTTTTACACCAGCAAAAGGTTTTTAAAGCACACACCTCTGCAATCGGGAAAGGCCTACTGTGCAAAGGTAGCCAGCAAGCACAGGTAGTGCTTCAGTAGGTCAACCAGGAAGACCTGGCATTTGAAGAGGGTGGCTTTTTTGGCATTTGTGTAGAATTGTTTTGTTGCCTCTTCAAAACATTTATTATATTCTGGTCGTTTCCCTCAGCAGGCCAAGCCAGATGAGGCAAGAGCATGCATTCAAATTAGCTTGGGGATTCTGCATGCCAGCCTCACATAAGATGTCAGTTTAGACTGCTGATGAAAAGAGAATTTATCTGCATTCCTTTTAAACGTCCAGCTGTTATCTCCTGAGAGGAGAGGAGTCAGATGCCTAGGAAAAGCAATCATGTGTCACCCTGTTCAACTGGAAAAGTTGGAGAGGGGAGTGAGGGATGGTGCTGGGCTCTCTACAGCAGGATATCAGGGAAGGAGTAGGAGTGGAGTGTGAGATGGGAGGTGTGTGCTTTCCCTTCAAAGCAGGGGCCTTGCAGATAGCTATGGACCGTGCAGGACGTGCCTTCCCTCCCTCCCTTTCCCCAGCTCCTTCCCTTCCCCGTGGCCTCGGGTTGCCCTGCCAGCGTGGATAGCTCTGCCAGAAATCCTCTGTCCCCCTGGACTGGCTGGGCTTTGTGCCTGCAGAGCTCAGGAGCAGGTGCTGGGCTGAACCTGGTCATCCCACTCCTCGGGGGAGCCAGGATTTGAAGGGATCTGCCCACAGCAGATCTCTTCAGATAGGTAAGATGTGCCCTAGGGATGGCAAGAGTCCTCAGCCTGCCTGTGAGAAAGTTTCTCAACATTTCATTAGGAGAGAGCTCATTGTTCCTCTTTTGCTTCAGATTTGGCAAGAGCTGTGGTGCTTTTGACCCCAGGAGAGAGAGGTGGTAGCTGGTGCTTTCAGAAGAAGGGGAATTAGCTGGGTGCACTCCAAGCCAGGGGCAGAAAAGTCAACTTTCTGCATGCCAGAGAAGAGCAGCTTCCTGTTTGCAGCACTGGGGAATTTTCAATGAAATCAGCAAGAGCAGGAAAATCTGGGAAGACTTTTAGCACATGAAGCTTGAACGTGTCTGGAAAAGGAGGGAAAATATAAGGTGCTCATGACCTTGCTTACGTGACTGTGTGCCAAACATGGTGTCAGTATGTGGAGGCCAAATTGACAGAAACAGTTTCTGTTATGGCCCTGGCAGAATTCCCCACTCTCCAAAGTGGTAGCATTGAAACCAGAGAACACCAGTTAGCTCCTTCCTATTCAGTCATCCTGAAACAAAAAGCCCTTGAAAACCACTGTGCAACTGCCCACTGAGTGTTTTGATTGTGAGAATACCAAACAAAAGCCTTTATTATCAACATATTAGGCATTTCACTGAAAATAATGTTTTTAGTGGATGTTGTAGGCTGTAGGCCTTCAATACACTCATTCTGAGCTCTTCCCTGGAAAGGGAGCAGTCAGGGATTTCCCCAGCTGGCTTCTCAGCAGCAGAAAGCCCTGGTGCTGGAATTGAGTCATCCCTCAGATCATAGGCTCGTTCCCTCTTCTGGGAATACTTGCTCATTTACTCTGTGCACACGAAGTGTTGTGGCTGTGTTTTCTGCAGCTCTAGCTTGCAGTAGCCACTTGGAGGAGGAGCTGTTGGGATAAGAAGTTCTGCTGACTTCTGCAGTCCAACAGAGTGTGAGTCGGGGACTCAAAGAACTTGTGTTCTCTGAAAAACACTCACTTCTCCTTCCCTCTTCCCAAGAAAATACATAGATAAGTGCTTTCTTGGGATACACAGAGGTCCAGATTACACCCCAGGAGTACAATAGCACTTGTGTGTCTGCTTACATGGGATTTTGGACCTTGCACTCTGGAAGACTGTTTGGCAGCAGCAGGCTGTGCCTACATCAGTAGGATGTTCCATTTGTCTGTCACATCAAGGGCAGTTCCATCCCTGGTGATGCCTAGAGAGGCTGACCTGGAACAGAGACTAGACAGCTAAAAGAATAAAGTAGGTATTTATTGGAAGGCCTTTAAAGGATACACCTTGGGCAGTACAAGAGCCTGGCCAGGGCTACACCCAGGATAGATCCCAGATGGATCCCAGCCATGAGGTTTTACACATTTTTAAGTTCTGGCTCATCTACATATTGGGGTTAATTGTCCATTACAGCTTCAGGTCATGAAGTCCCATCCTCCTTGCTTGCTCTCCTCAGTTCCTGCTTAATGCTTTTTGAGCCTGAAGCTTGTAACAGTTGTCCTTGGTCTCAAGCTGGAAAAGAATTATTTTGTCTAACTACCCTGTGAAGAAAACTAACACACAAACACCTAATATGAAGCTCAGAGCTACATACCTAGGCAGCAGAGAATACGAAAAATATGAAAGCTAAAAGTTAAGGCATCACTGTTTTGCAACTTAGATGTGTTCTCATTGTAGAGACATGGTTCATATGCAATATTGAAAATATTCTGCCATATTAAGCCCTGTAGTGGCTAATTTTTCATACCCTGCAGTCGGGAAAGTGTTGTGTTGCTGGAAATCCCTTTAGAGCATGTCAGGATTCAGTATAGCTCCTGTTCATTGCCTAACTACACAATCAGTTTTGAAGATAAACAAGTGTGGACAATTCTTTCTGGCCAAACTGAGGTGATCAGTGATGGAAGCTGAGGGAAGCAGGGGCAGTTACCATTGTGAGGCAGGGTTCTTACCAGCCCGTGAGGTACAGCTCTGAGGTCTCTCATCTGCTACTCAAACAGAAGATGCAGCACCTCGGGGAAAACCTTACATGTTTTAGTGTGTAATAGTCATTAACCCAGTGCATCCTCATTACCCAGAGTAAACCAAGGTGTTTGCTCTGCCTTTACAGTTGCTGCTGTGAGTGGCTTCATTGTTCTATGAAATGTCTCTTGAAGGTACTTAGGCAGTTTTAAAATTAGGAACAGGTGTAAAAGTAGATCCCTATGTGTTGTTTTATTCAGATTTTTGGGACATTTCAGCATATGCAGTCAAACCACCAGTTGGTTTCCATGAGCTTAAGGCTGAGTAGGTATTATCTACTGCTGTTACGCTGACTTCAAGACCTCATGAAAAGCCAAAAGAAACACATGTATTTTACTGGTGCCAGTGTAAATTTGAGTCACGTATAGATTTGAAGTATTACCCACTGTTTCCTATTTGGCTAGAGTCTGAGTCTGTTGGGATACATTGCTAACTTGGAATATTTCTCCGGCTGACTTTGTGAAAGCCCTTCTGTTGCTGCTGGAGCTGGGCGCTGTCCTTCTCTCTGGTGATAAAAGAGTGCCATATCCAGGCCTTCCTGGGAACTGCAGGCTGCTGAGCTGGGATTCCAGGAAGATCCATGTGGTCTCTGCAGAGCTGGAGAAGCTTTCACAAACTTCAGGGTATTCATTCACATTGGGCTTATACGGAAGCTGGCAGTTGTCTCGTTACTGAGGTGAAAAGGAGCGTATTAATGTAGCAGCATTGCAACAAAGCAGGAGGGAGAGGTGGATCACTGCAGAGTGGTTTTAGGCAGCAAAGCACGGACTCCATGTAAACAAAGTTCCCATGTGTAAGATTTGATGCTGCAATATCTGTGTCCCAGTAGAGCCCAGTTCCACGTCATTATTAAAATACTTTTTTTTTTCTTTTCTTTCTCCCTGTTCCAAATCTTACATTTTTTTCTCTGGGTTATCTGTGCAGAGTTTGGGTCACAGAGAAAAGCCCCTGGAAGAGTCCCATGTGTGTGTAGTGGGCTACACACACATGTGAGCAGGCATCAGCTCTGCAGCACGAAGCTCCCCAGGAAGAAGAACCTGCCTCCCTTACCTGGGAAATGCTTTTTAAACTCAGCTCAATCCCCAGGCTGTAATGCTTGCTTTTGTCCAGAATTTCTGTCTTGTTTGCTTCTTCTTTCCCTCACACAGATACTTGTAACGTGAAAATATTTTAAGTTATTTTATTTCCATTTTGTCACATTTCATGTAATCCTTGATACACTTCCAAGCTGAAGTGCTATTTCTGTTTTGAAAATAGTTTTCTACCTCCTTTTCTCCTGCTCTAGGGAGAAGAAGCTGAAAGCAAGAGTGCAGGAGTTAGTGAGTGCTTTGGAGAGACTCACGAAGAGCAGTGAAATCAGACATCAGCAGTCTGCAGAATTTGTTAATGACCTTAAAAGGGCAAACAGGTAAAGTACCAGCAGATAGATGCACTATTTATTCTTGCAAAGCACTGTAACACTCCACTTACCTTAATGAGACATTTCAGGATCCTCACATTCCATTCACATGTTGACACTCCAGGGTTATAGGTAGAGAAGGGGAAGGTATAAACCTCCCATGTAGGCCACTGACAACTACATAGTTAAGAACAGAAAGCAGAAAAATAGGTTAATCTCAATTGAGTCACTACTAGTGATTGCACAATTAAAAAAGCAAACAAAAATTTATGAATTTGTTACTTTATTTTTAACTGCTCTCTCTGTTATTTTAACTGCTCTCTTTTCTTTGGCTCCAATCTCTTCATTAATGAACTGTCTTGGATAATCACACTTAAGTTCTGTTGCTCACTCAGGGCTTTTTTCTTTTCTTTGGATGGCCTAGGAATATGGTGGACTGCAGCTGCCCTTCCTGCAAGCAGCCTCTCACTCACAATGTGGTTTTCTTTAAATTGTATTTTAAAGCCTTTGTGGTGAGAAGCAGCACTCATCTCAAGCTTTCCAACCCAGCCAAGGTGGAGGCACAGAAGATACTCAGCTGCTAGCAAATTAGCACAAGATGCCATCCTCTCAATGTAAATCTTACTTTTAAAATGAAAATACAAAATCAGTCCTTGACTTTCTAAGCAGATTCTGGCCATGCAATGTTTTCATAAATCACATTTGATGTTGTGGTATCTTCATTCACAAACAGTGGTATGAGAGGTCATCAACAACCTCCATCTGCCTCTTTTTGAACCATGTTTAGTTTTCTTTACCAGTTTACTGGTAAAGGTGTGTGCTTCCCCCAGGAAAGACACCGACATTAGCATTGATCTGGGTTTGGATCAAAAAGGTTTAGATCTAATCCATTTTAAAGCACTGGTAAATTTGGGGAAGGGGATCAGTACCCAGTCTTTTGAAGTTTCCTGAAAGTGGAGCTTTGGGGTAGATTTTTAGTAGCACTTGATCTGAACAAGCCTGTTTGAATTACCTTGTATGCCTTGTGTTTTTAACAGCAACTTGGTAGCAGCTTATGAAAAAGCAAAGAAAAAGCATCAAAATAAGCTGAAAAAACTGGAATCACAAATGATGGCCATGGTGGAGAGACATGAAACCCAAGTAAGAATGCTCAAACAAAGAATAGCTTTATTGGAAGAAGAGAACTCCAGACCACACACCAATGAAACTTCACTTTAAATGCATCTCTTTAAAGGATGCTTAGTGCCATTACAACTTTCTTTCTTTTGGAGGTTGACTTTAGGTAGCTTCAAATGTTAAAAGCTCTGACTGTCACTGCTGACAAAACTTAAAAACACCTTCTCTGGGATCCCAGAGGGGTGTCATGGGGATAATAAAAGTGTTAACCTTAAGGACTCTTACGTAATGTAAAATGGCAGTGCCTGAATTATCATGCTATAATTGTGTACATTGTCTGTGTTGTTATGTCTGTATTCATACAGCTTCCTTTCCATTTTATCAATGGCCCATGGGTGACAGTGTCACACAGCAGAATAATTCATGTTAAGAGGTTTTCATTTGGGTAGTTTGGAGATCATGTGAGAGTTTTACCAGTCCCTGAGCTCTCTCTGCACAGAAGTCCACACTGTACCATCAAGACTCGTTCTTGTGGTTTCACCACCAAACAGGCAGCTGCAGAGTGGGGATGGCAGCCTGGCTGGCTTTTTCTTTGCACCCTGCTTGCAGTTCTGCTGCTCACAGTGCAGGTCAGGTAGAAAAAAAATGCTTTGGGAATAAAACAAGAAAGCATAGTTGCATCTCTGAGAATTATGATAGTGTAATTCTTAGAGTGCATAAGAGGGCCAAAGCCTGTGGGTTTCACCATGCCACACAGATGGTCTGTGCCAAGGGTGGGTAAGACTTCCTGGTATTTATATTGCATAGTGTTTGCAACTACTTTGTAAAAAAATATGTTTTTTCTTGCTATATACACTATATCCAAGGTTTTCTTTAAGAAGCTGGGCCATTTTTGTCACTTTTGGTTGTGCTTATTACAGCTTACTGTGATCAAGACGTAGAATATCTTCTTTTTATGAATTTTTTGACAAAAAAAAGGTACTTTAGTAATGTACCTGTTTAATATTGAATACATAGGCACAAAACTATAAATGTGTAGGTGTATGGATATCCAGCCACAAACAGAATGTGAATGGTGAAGTCTTACAGCTTCTTAGGTTAGTTTTTGTTACTGCTAACGTTTTCTTGTTTAAATCACGTATTACTGTATTATCAAACTGACTGAAGTGCAAATTTTGGCTTATTAGGTTAATGAATATTAAGCAAATCATGGGGATCAGGTTGATTTCTGTAGGGGTCAAAATACAGGAGTCTGCCATAGCACCTGTTATATTCAGAATTTGCTTTTTCTTGACAGAGTACGTAAAACACCTTCGTGTGTGTTTTAAAAACCCAAGCTGTAGTCCCTTCACTGTTTTAGCCTGCTGCTGTATTATGCCTCTGCTTTGCATTTTCCAGGCTGATTTCCAGTGAATCTGATTTCAAATGTTTAATAGTTTTTGCTTTACATGTTGAGTTGCACCTCAAGTTTTTTACTGGTGTATTTAGAATTATGATAACGTCTCTCATTTATCCCTCCCATTACTAGTACTAAGGAAATACTTCTAGAGAACTTTTTTTGCCTACTGTTGGGCTAGGTCAGTCAGACAACATCGTTGTGGGAATTTGTGTCCAGAATATGGCATTATTGTTAAGTCTTGGTTACGTCTGGAACTGTAGCAGTTGGTTTCCTCTTACTACTGTAGCTGCTGTTGTCTTCTGTCCTTAGAGTAGTCATTCCTGTTTCTCTGGAGTCTAGCACATTATCCACAAAGCCAGCATCACATGTGATTGATTGCAACAGCAAATTAAAACAATGCTGATTTCAAAATTTTTAGGTAGTGATGTTCTGGTTTTGATCAGTCCTCTTTCTCAGAATAATTGCACTTCTTAATTTATAATGTGACTAGAAATTTTTGCAAATGAGTCTCTTGAGGGAGGAGGCACAGTGATTTCTTCCGTCTTTATGGTTCTGCTTAGCAGCTCTCTATGGTGTTCCCCCCTTTTCGGCCCAATTTTCTCACCTCAGGAAGGTGGAGGTTTACCATCAGCTTCAGTGGTAGCTGAGCACACTTGTTCTGAAGAAACACAAAGGAAAGTATCTGCCATGTGCTGTGGCAAAAACGCAGTTACGCTTTCGTTTTCCAGCATCTGAAACACCCATGTGACTTGAGGTCATCTCAGAATGTCCATGTGAAATATTTTTCACTGCAGAGGACAGAAACCATTCTGCACTGGGCTGCCTCTTAGGCTTATTTTTCCCCCTAGTTAGAATAATGGAATTACAGAATGGTTTGGGTTGGAAAGGACCCTAAAAATCATCTTGTTACAATCCCTTTCTGTGGGCAGGGACATCTTCCACTGGACCAGGTTGCTCCGAGCCCATCCAATCTGGCCTTGAACATTCCAGGGATGGGACAGCCACGACTCCTCTGGGCTACCTGAGCCAGTGCCTCAGAATCCTCATACAGAAAAGTTTCTTCCATTAAAAAATTCAGATACTCTTAAACAGAGGCGTAAAAGCAGCCTCAGTGCTTTTTCCAGGCCTGACAATTTGCTGATTATTTCACTACATTTAGCACGAATATTCCATGCCAACTGTGCTTGAGAAGTGCTTTAGAACAAATTATAAATCATCAGTAAATGTAAACCACTCCCATTTTCTTCCCATAAGGGTTGTAGATAAGCAGCAGCACTGGTACCATCCAGCCTGAGTACTAGCCATAGTTTACCAGATCACCAGCTGATTTATTTGTCTCAGCAAGCAGCAATTGCACCATTTGTTGGCATACTGGAAAGGATCAACAGGGAAGTGTCACGGGTTTAATGTTACTGTGAAAACTGTTCAATAGTGATGATCACCTGCAGCTCCAGTGTACCCCATTAAAATGGCACCAACTCTCAGAAGAAATGCCAAAAAACCCTCAAACTCCTTTTACACAACTCTGAAGTACCAGCACACCAGAAATACGTGAGTGTGCAGTGCTCCATGAGTTACAGCAACTTAACTCATCTTGACTCTTGTTGCAGAAATAATAAATTTGTAAAGCAAGAAAAAGAAGTGATTCTTGCCAACCTAAGTCCATTCACGAATGAATAATTTTTATTTTCCTAAGTCACCAGAGTGCATGAACATTTGTATTTCACAGTGCTCAGAAATAAGTTACTTTTTTTCTAATTCTATGATGTATAAATCTTCACCAGCTTGAATGTACTGTTAGCTATTGCAAAGCACATGTGACTAAGTTTGCATTCATGTCATGTTCTACTGGTTTTATTAGAATTTTCTCCTCCTTTAATACTGCACCATGCATTTTAACATTAGAAACTTTTCACCTTAATGAATTAGCCTTAAATGTGTTGCTACCTTTTAGTTTCCTAGCAGCTGTAAAATAGCTATTTTTTGTTCATTTGATATAGAATTGTAAAAACTGCATTTATTTATACAGAGGCATTTATAATACTTATTTTACAAATGTTCTTATATTCTGAATAAATTTCTAATGCTGTTTCTTTGCCTTGGGAGTTGTTTCACCACCGTTTGTACCTTTCTGTTCAGTGGGACTACCTAGAGATACCTTGGCACAAAGGTACTTGACCTCCAAGCTAAGATGGAGGTGGTTTGACATTGTCAGTAAAGTTCACTTAATAGAGCCATGAAAAGCTGTTAAGAACTCAGATCTGGCCACAGGTTTTATCTGGGCTCAAGAACATCAGTACTTCTTCTCACCAACCGTCTACATCTTCAACGAACACTTTAAAGAAATGAGTATGTGTGAAACTGTTACCACCCGTCCAGTTCTTTCAATAGCAAGTTATATGGACCAAAACAAAAAACAAACAAATACTCAGTATTATATAAATATTCTAAAAGCACTGATTGAAGTTCACACACTTCCTTTCTCCAGTTTGTTTAACACATTTTATTTTTTTTCCATTGTGTTGAATGGACTTCTTCATCCACCTTCAGAGCTGACATTAAAAAATACTTCCTCTCCTGGCACTAGATAAAGTTGGAGCTGGCTTAAGGCAAAACATTCTACAGTGAAAGAATAACCTGTACCAGCAGCACAGACATTACATTTCATGATGACCAGCAATCCTTCAGTACTTCAATACCTTTATTTATAAAGTAATTTAATTTTACAGAGGAAAAAATAACAATATAGAAGAAAATGTCAACTTAGTCATAGTCTCTTAAATGGTGTGCTTCAGTTTTGAATCAATTCATAATAAAATCACAATCGTCAGTACAGTAGATGTTACAGGTAGTTACAGATTTTACTTAATAAAATTGAGTTGACTAATGCAAACTTTCTTCAAAAGAACATAATGGAAGTTGAATAAAATCTGTAATGATTTTAACTCTTTAGCTGTACATACTTTCTACTTAATTAGCACCGACGTGCCACTTACACACAGAGGAAAACAGATCGAGTTCTTGAGCTTTAAACAAACAAAAACAAAAGGAAGACATAACCCTTCATGCCTGAGCTACACCACAAAGCACTGGCTCCTATTTTTTGCGAGGCATGCAGTGCTGCCCTGAAAAGTGTTATCGTTTGGAAGCAATACCCAAGCCTGGGGCCTGGAACATGAACACCAATCGAGCATTCTGCCTGAATTAACAACCCCACACCTTCTGGGGGGTCTGTTTTGCTTTTTAATGGTAAAAGTGCCTTGCAAACCCAGCTAAACTGCTCCTCAGGGATGAAGATCAACTTCCACATAGTGCAGTGCCATGCAGACACAGTAAAGTTCTGTTGCAAGTATTGGCATGAGAAGTATTTGCTGAGAGCTCTTAATCATGCAGTTTTCCTTCCTTTTTCTGCATAACAAAATTATATACCCAAGCAGTAAGATACAAATTTCATCCCCACAGTTAAGTAATTTTGATCAAACATGCTTAAAAAATTTGCAGAGTTCTTCTCACCATTGGAAACATGTAATAGAGAACTGTGTTTGCAGGATGTTTTTTTAAAAAGCTATGAATGCCTTATTTTAAAATGATTAATGCTCCATGAGCTGTAATCATTTTCTTAAAGGCACTGAACTGTAACTCATAGCGGAAACAAGAAGCTAGTTCTTCTTATCAACAATATAAATGCTTAGAAATGACAAAATACTCTGTTTTCAGTAAAATCCATAGAGACCTTTCCAAATTTAAACATTCTGTACTTTGTGAAATGTTAATAGTTACTTAAAAGGAAGCACTTTTTTTCCTAGAAGAATTGAAGGAGGACTCAAAGACACTTCTGATTTCCCAGAAATTTCAAGATAAGGGTTTCTGTAAAGCTGAATCTGTACAAAAAGTTAAGTCTTGCTGAACCTAACATTTTCAATGGAAAGACAAGTTAAACCCCAAGTAT